GCTTCTCCAGTGTCTTGTCTAAACAGCAAAGCTGATGTCTTTGGCAAATCCTTGTCAGCAGCTGGTAGCCCTGAATATTTTTGTTGTACAGAAAAGTAGCAAGCTGTTTCTCATGGCACTCAAAGCTGGGGGCTCCTGGGCAGTGCTGTCAAGGTCTCTCACAGGAAAAGTGTTTGTGCTTTTCTGCCCTGCTCAAGGCTGTTGGTGCCACTGCAGCTTTGGCAACACGCTGCTGCTGCCACCAGAGCAAATCCGTTCTGTGCTCAGAAACAAAGGACTACAGGATGAGATTCCTGTTAGTGTGTGGCACTGGTAAAGCGGTCACATTCTGCTTTTCACCTATTCCTTTAAGCAGTTTTTCAGTTCCTTTGTTTCTTTGAAATTGAGAGAGATGAGCGGAGGAGGATGCAGGTGAGAATAGTCCATGGAAAGAAATTTTCAAAGAGGTCCCTGCTGTTTCACTGGATGAGGAGGAGCTTAAGGACAGCTGTTCAGGCTTGCTAAGAATGCAGATCTGTAGTTAGAGACTACACTTTATACCAAGGTATGATGTTTTTCAAATACATTATTTGCCAACTGGTTTATTTTTCTCTTTTCTCCCCCACTTCAATAGATTTTAAAAAACCCCACCACCTCTGTTTACGTGGAGGGTTTTCTTGAGCATTTTGGGAAGGTGACACAAAGAGTGTAACAGTACTCATGTGTCTGTGTTCTGGTACCCTTCTATGTGCTTTGGCTTGTTATGAACAACTATGCAATGTTTAGGACAGCAGAAACTGGCTCTGTGTTGTGTGTGGGCTCAGCTGCCTGTGTGGTGTGTTACCAGAACAGGGCCTTGTGGGTTTGAAAGCTTGCCAAGTGCACTTAGAAAATTCCTGAACTTCAGCCCCTTTGCTGTCCAAGTTCTTGCTCTTTTATTAAGGGTTAAACACCTGAAATACTTCATTTCACCATGGGTATGATTCACACTTGAGAGGAGATGAGAGTGACCGATGTTTTTTGTGACTGTGCTGTTGAGTTCTGCCTTTCCACCTCAACAAGGATTTCAATGTGGCATCTGAGTAAGTCGAACACCACAGAGGTGTTCAGCCTTCACTTGGTGGCACTCTTTTTATCACATAAAGCTGTGTGTGGGTGCCTGGAGTCATTTGCTGTGAGAGACCCTTTCATGGATTGAGGAGGCCATGCAAACAACGTCAATGAGATTTAAGAGAATCAACAATTCACCTTACTTCTCTGAGTCTCATAACAAATGTCACCCCAACCGTGATCCTGTGTTGGGATATGTTCCTTACATATATTCATTTGCCACAAGTATATTTGTAAACAATTCCTATCAAATCAATGTGACAATCCAGGTATATTTTAATTGTTCCTTCCCCTGTGGCTGTTCATCATTACAAGGCTGAGAAGGCACCACGCAGGGGCCAGCACAGCTGCAGAATGAAACCAAGAAACTCAGTGTGTTCAAGATGGATGGAAAGCACCATTCATGAAAACTCTTATGATTAAAATTAGAACCAATAGCAACAAGGTTTTTGTTTAAAGAAAGAAAGGAAATAGAAGACAAGGAAAAAAGCAGAGAAAGTATAAAGCCTCCTGCAGAGTGGGCAGAAGAGGAAGATGGTTATAGTGTTTCCAAAATTTAATAACCAGGGACAGCGGAAGGAGGTGAGGGATGTGGAAAATCCTGCTCCACTGCCGGGACCTGCCACATGCCAGCAGCAGCCTGCAGGGGACTTAGTGCTCCACAAAGGTATTTGCAAATTCCCTACAATAGTTTTTTTTGCTCCTGAAGCATGTACTTTAAGAATACAACTTTTTCTATATCCAACTGCCACATAACAGTACCAAGTTTTTATGTTGTAGATGTAAATCATAATTCAAAGTCAGGTGACTCTTAATGTATGGACTAATTAGAGAGAGGATGAATCTGCAGTATAACAAAGTTCTAATGGGGTCAGGGCTGAAATACTACAAAAAAAAAAGCTATTTTTTTTTTCCTCTTTGTCTTGGAGCCATTATCTATTTTAATTCCTCTCTATTGAAGTATGAATCATGTGAATCCTACCTTTAATTTGTTTCTTTATCAGTGCTTTGTTGACTTCATAGGCTATACAAAGCACAGCAGGGGAGAGCTGTGAGACTATGTATCAAGCATTATAGTGCATTAGAGTAATCACTTTTCTCTCTAACACATCAGATGTTGTCATCAAGTTTTATGAGTATAGGTGTTATTTTTCTCAGAATCTCCTGAAACTATTCATCTTAATTAGCAGCAGTATAAGCTTCTTCATAAAGTTGGAATACATCTTATCGTGAAGAAATTTTGTGGTAAATGCACCTGCTTAGTATTTTTAAACAAAGTGATAAAAAAATAAATTCCATAGTTCAGAAAGCTTTCTTTTTGAAATTAATTTGAAACTGTTGGTGTAAGATTAGAAGTTGCAGTATTTTCCTCTCAAGAGATCAGATGGTAAACTCTGCTTTGTGGTTTTCAGTCTGACTGCTCTGTGTTCCTGAGCCCCATCCTTGCTCCTGGCAGACCCCAGTAACTGCTGACACGGTGCCGGTTTGCCGGGTATGCAGGTTGCTGTTGTTGCCTTTGTTCTCCTTGCTGTGATGTGACATGTTTTTTATCATCCTCTGTGAATATGTAGATATTTCTTCTTTTTCCACTTTGGTCCAAAAAAAAAGCCTTTTAATCGGGGTCAGCAAATGCACCACAATTCCAAAAGACAAACGATCGCAAAGATATAATCTAGCTGTTGATGTCCAGTGCTATGAAAAGGTTTCTTAAATATATGCTCAGTTGTTGCTCACCAAATTTTCAATGCAAAAGAAAATAAGGGCCAAATAGTCCCTGTTCCCTGAGCAGGGCATGGTGGTCAGCTGGTGTACCAGTTCACGAGCAGCTCCCAGTAAGCTGGCACTGGTGTTGAGAATGTTGTTCCACACAGTGTTATTTCTAGTCCCAGTCTTTTGCTCCTGTTCTTTTTTTCAAAGGGATTGATGAATAGAAGACCCTGAATGAAGTGGTTTGGCATTTGTTTTCTGATGTGGCAAACAACAAAAAAAAGCATGACCATAGCGCTGTTCAAGGCCTCCTTATTCATCAGCATCCTTAAAGTAGCTGTGCCCTGTCATTATGAAACGCTGTGGATATTTTTTCGTCGGTTGCAAAGTGGAATTTGACAAGGAAAATGCTCAAAGGGCAATAAGCAGTAAGAGACATCTTGTACATTTGAATAGAGCACTTATAGATTATTTTTATTATCACCTTTTTTGCTGTGGGGTGGTTTACTCTTTAAAACTCTCAGCACTATTCCAAGTTATCCTTGCAGGATTTGCCTTTGGGTGAGCATATCCCCTTCACCTCTAAATTCTTTACAACCTCATGCTGGGTACTGTGAGGCTTCTTGTGTTTAAGAATAAAGGTGTCTTACGGTGCTGATTGTCTGAGACCAGGAGCTGGTTCAACACTGTGAGGGCCTTGAATATCATCTGCCCTGCTCTGGCTGGGGCCAGGCAGGAGTCAGCAAACCTGCTGACCTTGCCCTCTCATTCATGGATTGTGTCATGCTGGGGGTAGCTCACATGCAGCGTGGCTCTGAGTGTGCAAGGCAGCTTCATGTTGCTGTCTGAACACCCTGTGCTTTCATTTTCTGTTTAAGTGGGAATCCAGCTGAACTAGCATGTTTTTTATATAGATATTGCAACCTTACTCTATGAAAAGATTATTTGAACTCTCAGAGAGCAATGGACGTTGAATTATTTCCTCCCCAATGATGTTTTGTTTTCTAGTGTCGGGTTGAGTATGTGAATTTGGGTGTCAAAACATGTATCTCGAGTTCTGAAAAGGTGAGAAAGTGTGTCTGTATATATGCAGTCAGCATCACAGCTTTGTGCAGATTGTCAGTACTCTATATAATGCCTGGCAAGACAGGTTATAGCAAGTTCTGGCATTTATGGAGAAGCAGTTTGTCCGTTCATATCACTCAGTGCAACAGCTGCATCTGAAATTTGTTGCCCTTTGTTTATAGGCTGATCCTGGTATTTGGAACTCTTAGAGTGTTTCACTGCTCAGGTGTCCAGAATTTAAAACAAAATCAATTATAACTGCCATAGGCAAGGGGGTTTATAGTCATAATGTTCCAATGACAGTGTCAGGGGAAGGCATCAGGAACTTTCAGCAAATATTTATTTGCAGACATTTCTACACAGTCATCTTAAAATAGCAGTAATTGGTACAGGAAAAGCAGATACAGCATGGTCTCTGTCCCTGCAGAAGAGTAACTATATAGATAGGTAATATAATGTTAGAAATAGAAAAATAAGATGTGATACAAAAATGCAAGTCATTTTTTAGATGGAAGATGGTTGGTTTTGCTGCACTGGCTTCTAATGGCAATCTCTTTGCAGGATACTTCAAAAGTGATGGATTGAGGCACACACATAATGACCTGTTCCAGTCAGAAACAGAGACAGCCTCAAAGGGTGTTGCCAATGAGATCTATAGAATGGGACATGTGAGTGTATACAAGAGCAGTGTTGGTACCATTTTGCATGTATATCTTCCTGACAAAAAACTTAAAGAAAAAAAAGTCAAGACTGCACATTTTGGAGGATTAATCATCTGAGATTTTTCTTTAATTTATCACCAACAGGAGTAATGTTCACTTTCTGTTTTACAGGGACACCCACATAGACTTTAAAAAGCATAAATAAAATTATGTCCACACAGGCTGTGGGTCTGTGCAGCAGCTGTTCACATGACACTATATTTTATCTGCATACATTTAATCATTTTTTTTCCTAAGCAACTGTCTCAATCTGTCAAAATATTTGTAAATGGATTCAGTTTCCAGTGAAATTTGCTTTCACTAGCACAACAGAGAGACAGGGAAGACTTATGCCCAGTGGGAAGAAAAAAAAGCAAAATTGTTTTCCATTGCAGGTTGAACAGCTCAGTCCTAAGGCGTTTGCCTTGATGGCTGTGTGAAGCCAGTACTCTCACTTAGCAGCTACCTCATTTCTGGGCCGAGATGTTTCATTTCATCAGACGGATTTCTCCACAGCTGAACAAGCACAAACAACATGGTAGGTGACAGAGGACAGCTCTGTATTTCAGTAGAGGAGGGACTCACCTGAAAAGAAGGGATATTGGGGATTTTTTCCTATTTTTACCCCTAACACTCTGTGTCCTTCTCTTGTTTTCCTCCTCCATGTAATGTATTAATGCTTCCCTTTTGGTACCTTGGAAAGCTCTATAGTCCGAGGGTGTCTGGGGATTTAGTGATAATTTACTACAACTAAACAGATGAGCTGATAACTGCCTCCTGTCAGTTCTGCAGCAGATTCAGTGTCTGTGTTAGCCCAACCTCCTTGTAACTGACCCTCTGAGTGCACAGTTGTGGGAAGTAGATCACTTAAGCCTCATGGCTTTCCAGATCCATGGCTGTCCTTTTTGTGAGATAACACAGATCCTGATAGACTCATCAGACAGGGAGGAGCAATGTGTCCTGAGAAAATGGTGATGAGGGCAGGCATTATCATGATGCAAAATTGCTTTCCAGAACTCTCCTGGTTTAAAGCACAGGATGTGGCATCCCTTCCCAAAGTGGAAACACAGATAGGCCAACACTGCCCACCAGTATGGTCTCAGTCTTGTCCAACTTCAGCTGCCTGTGGGCTCCCACAGCAGCTTTTGTACCTGCAGTCATACCAAAGCTGTGCACTTGTAGCTGTAGAAATCCACATGTTTTGATTGCACCCTGAAGGAAATAAGCCTTACAGCTCATATCAATATATTGAACTTTAACTTTGTTGTATAAACCAGAAAATCCTGATGTCAAGTCTATTTTTAAGCCCTAATCTGTAGCAATGAAAGTGAGAGATTGATGTGTTTGCTAAAGCAAGGGGATTTCTATGTGCACAGGACTACCTGAGGCCTTACAGAAGGCTTTGCAGGGGGAAGGAGCTGGTTCACTTAGTTGTGTAACTCGGATGTTTTAGTCTGGGCAGGAGCTGCTTCTAGGGTAACTAGAGCAAAGAACACCCTCTCCTTACACACCAGCAGTACTGAACATTGACCACACTGTTTTGGCATAGTCTTGAGCCCATCCTTTTTGTCTCTGAATTAGGTTACAGGTAAACCAGGTACCTTATTTTCAAAGCAGAAACAGTTAACAGCCACCCTGCCTTGGCTGAGACTGTTGTGTATGCTTCCAACTGGGACCACTGATGGTCTTGTTGCTTCCAACTGTGGCTTAAGGCAGGCACTGGGACAAGGCTGACCATCTCCTGGCAGAGATAAATGCCTTCCTGTCTTTCCCAGACTTATGCCCCACCATATAAGCAATATAATCTCGCCTAGGCAATACGTGCTTCTTCAGATTGTTGTTCCATCAAAACTCTTTGTCATTTTCTGACAGCCACCAGGAATGTTGAAATCTCGTGTATTTCACACCAAAACCATCTGTTGATGTCAGAGCTATGTGCAGGGTCTTCAGTACTAAAGAAAATTAGACCACTGATTATTATTTTGCTTGTGGCTCCTTTGGCATTCTGGACTTGATACTCAGTGATTAAGTGGCCAGATGTCCTGAAGCTGTTGCATACAGCTGGACAATAAACTGTCTGCTACAGAGAAATAGCAAAGGCCTTCCTCCTTTATTAGGGTAAAACTGACAGTTTTATTGACTGGCTTTTTGCCTTGGTCATATTTACAGTGTTACACTCGACCTATTTAAATCATTTCAGTAGCAAGCTGGATATTCTCTGAAAGCAGTTCTGATTCCAGACTGAAGAATAGGTAGTTGTTTAATGAATGCAATGAACTGTCATATAGCCACATTTTAATATGAAAAATAATTATTCCTCTGTAACAGCTGACAGTTTGTTTTGCTGTGGGCAAAATACAGCTTTGATAAAGTACATTGCCTAAATGAACTCAGCTAGTTTGAGAAACACACTGCAGTAGCAAATCAGTGCTTTTACTACCTGTGTACAATACACGATTTTATGTTTTTATACATAAAAGAATCTACTGCAGATATTATAAACACAAGATAAATAAAAAAAACAACCAAACCAAACACAGCAAAACCCAAAAACAAAACCACAACAAAAAAAAAACAACAAAGAGCAAAGAGAGCAAAGCCAAGAGCAAGTATCGGTCCACATCAAATTAATCATGTAGTTGATAAATGAAGGATCCCTGCAGCTCCATCTGTGGGGCTGTTTCTCAGGCTCTGGTCTTGTAGGCCACTGCTGCTCTGTAAGACATCAGAAGGACTTCTGTCAAACTGTGGCAAAGAGAAAAAAAGTCTCCTCTTAAAAAGACCCTAAGCGTATTCCCACAAATGTAAGCAAGCAAAGTTTGTGTTTGCATGCAAAATTAACAGTGAATGTGTCTTAATTAGTTGTAAATTAAGCTATTGTGACAGCTTGACAGAACACAATCCTGGGAGACGAGACACTCCTTTACTCTAAAGACATGACTTAGAAATATTATTCTAGGAAATGCAGCTACACTCTTCTTAATATACCATCCTGGTCTGCTGCCACACTTGTATCTCACCCCTCTCAGCCCCGTAAGATGTTCCAACAGAGGTGCCGGATGTGTTTCTGGGGAGCAAGTGACAGTCTCCCACTTCAGTGTTTACATTGGTGACTGCACTTAATCAGAATCATACCAGTTTTTTTCCTTTGTTGGTTTTATCCTTCTTCACTACAGCAGAGAAAGCCAGGATTTTAGAACCGCTCTGCTGGAAAATGTCACGTAAATATTACCGACCCGCTCGGCCAGCAGGAGCTTTGCAGGGCACGCTGCGGATCGGGCTGTCCCCCAAAAATAAATAAATAAATAAATAAATTTGCTTTGCTGTTATTTGGACATTCCAGCGAGGAAAGTTCCGTGGGGCTTCTGTGCTGCCGGGGCGGGGCAGCAGATGGTGCTGGTGCTGCAGGAACCGCCGCTCGCTGCCTGTTCATTGACTGGAAAAGAGGTAAAAAGGGGGAGAAAGGGAAGGCATTTCCAGGGATTCATTTCTCTGGCTGTTGATATCGTTTAGGGAAAAAGAAAGTGGCAAATATTAACAAATTGCACTCAAAAATAGCGGACTGTGTGCCCAGCTATTTGACTAAGCACACCAGCATAAGGCTGTTGCCAAAAGTCTCACAAATAACTGAAATTTGATCGTACAGAAGTAGTAGTTGCAGTAAAATAATCGAGATCTGATTGTATAAAAGGAGTAGTTCGATTAAAGGTAGAAAATTGTGAAGCATAATGTATAGAATTGTTAGGAGTGCTATATCTGAAGTATGCAACCACAGATACCTCACTAAGAAGTTACTGGACCATGTATACTGCTTGGAAATCCCCTTATCCTTCCCATCTTGATCTGAGTATCAAGAATTTCAGTCAGTATAGCTAAGTAGAACTAAGCAGTGATTGGTTTTGAGTAAAGATATATAACCTATGGAACCGATCATTGTAAAGGTTAAATTCAAGAATGGACTTATGTAACAGAAAAGAAGTACAGAAATGAATGGAAGAATGGGCTTATGTAACAGAAAGGTATAAAAATGAATGGGTATTATTGCTAAGTGGAACAAATTTGGAGGAGCAATGCCCCGTGTTCCCAGTAAGCTGAATAAAGAAGTGTCTATTTGTTCACATCAAATTGGTGCTGGGTGAATTTCTTTTGTCCTGTTTGGTGACAAGGCTGTACTCAAAATGTGCTTTGTTTTCAAACAGCTTAACTAAGTAAAAACCAACAAACAAAGAGCCAAAAAAAAAAACCCCAAAAAACAAACCACAAACAAACCCAACCCAATCTAACCAAAAAACCCACAAATAAAAAAAAAAAGCCAAACCAAATCGGAACAAAACAACAAACAACCCAAACCCCCAATCTAAGGTCTGTATGAACATGCTGAAAGACCCAGGAATGTCTCCATCCTCAACTGACTGGGGGAGTGCTGGAGAAATGTGGAGAAATGATGACAAGCACAGCCAAAGAGGGGTACAAATGAAACAGTTTCAGAAGACAAGACAAGTTTGGAAAGAAATAAAAAAAAGTATTGTGACGTATTTGACTACCGAGATCATGCCAGAAAGCTAAAGGGAAGCGTACAGGTATTGTACAAGAAAGTTTATTTCAGATTCTCTCTCCTGTACTAACAATATAACGTGATCCCATTGTACCTATTATCTCATCCCATCTATTGTTTTGCACAGCCAAATCCCTTTATGTAAGTTGTTATATCTCACCTGACTTCAGTCAGCACTGGTAACATATACCAGCTGTCTCTCCCTGTGCATCCCCCTCTGTTCCTGCCAGTTCTCTAATCTTTTCAGGAAGACCTCCTTTTTTCACCAATTGTTCTGTCTTTCAGTTCTGAGACTTATGATGATTTACAATCCTTTCCAGTCTCATAAACTTTGTACTGCTCTTAGTCCTTGTAGTTGCTTTCTAATAGTCAACCTTCCAGTTACCTTAAGATCTCTTACCTGTATTTGTTGTTTCTACTTAGGTACTTAAGCATCTCTCTAATTTAATTCTCTGTATTCTAATATGCAACTTGAAAGAAATACAACTGTTTATAAATAAGCATTGTATGGAACTCTATTGTTGCCTACAGCACGTTGCTGAAAGGGCTCATGAAAAAATTAGAGAAAATTCCACATGCTGATCTCATTGATTTTCCTTCTGGCTAGGAAAAACATTTGTTTAGCACAACAAACTTCTTGAACATATTATAGCTTACAAATGGAGTATAACATACATCCACTTGTTTGTCATGTCGAAGGTGATTTATTTCTGGATGACACTAAAAGAATCTCATGTTCAGCTACTTCAGCATTGAAGTTAGCCACATTTTCAGCAGAACTTTGCTGCTATTTGGACACCTCAGTGAGAAAACTACTGTGGGGGACCATTGAGTTCTTTGCTGTTTCAGGGTGTCACAATGGTATCTACTATTTAAAAAGTCTGGACCCAAGTGGATGTGTAGCGTTTTTTAAGTAAAAGCTAATAGCTGTTGCTGCTGAGTAAAAGAAAACTCTGTAAACCAGTGCCTCAGGGGAATTGTACAGGATGCATGTGTTGACTGTCTGAGCTGCTATGAATTAGCATAAATCCATGAGTTAAATCATTATTTGTAATTTGAAGTTTGCTGAAAATCTTCTAAAGTGAGACCAGGAAGAAGATGCACAATTATTTTTGTTTTGCATAATGAGCTTGGCTAAGTAGAAGGTCACCTCAAAGTAGAGTTTTTCAAGGATACCAACATTTCCTTATCCTATCCTGTGTGTCTGATAAAATGGCTGGGTCTCAAGATGTGTGCTTCACTAATTGAAGGTCATATTAGCATGAAAGGGTCTAGCCTTGGCTGATAGCTACCATTTCAATTTAACGTTGGTTTTCTTATAAAGTAGAAATATATTTCTCCTACAAGAGTTACTCTTCATAATGCAATCTCGTAAAATCTAATGTAGAATGGTACATTCATGTCTATCAATTTAATCTTCCCCTTATTTTAAATAATTAGAATGAATGAATAGAAATAAAATCCACATGTAATAGCAAAGAGATAATATCGTGTGTATATGAAATATCACTTGACACTGTTTCTACAGTGAATTAAGGCTTTGTTGATCCTGAGCAAAAAAAAAAAAAAAAGAATCAACTGGATTATAACACATAGCTTCAGTGAGGGTTTCCAGGATCTTAGAAATTAATGCAGTGTTCATGAATATGGAAAAGGTTTCCTTGTGGGATTCAGAAATGAGGTGACAGTGCAGCAGCTGGCCAACAAATCCATGTGACTATTGGTACAAGGGTATAAATATCATCCACTGCTGCAAGCACAAGTTAAAGATGTGGCATAGATCAGTTTTTAAATTGTCTGCTGTGCAAAAGAACTGTTGTCTCAATCAGGAAACACGAAAAATAAAACCTATGGTTTAGGTTTTATTGTGGGGCCAGGGCATTCCTTTGAAGCTTCAGGTGCTGGCTGAGGCAGGACACTTGCCTCAGTGATTCATTGCTCCTAATCAGGTCAGTTGTTTCTTACAAAACTAGCATTTACTAGGTACTTTGGTCTTATTTTAGCATTGAGAAGTGTTCTGAAAGAGGGGTATGACTCAGGTTCCTAACAGCTGTAGATTCTATTCAAGTAGGAAGAAGTTAGGTGCATTTTAAAAGTATTTAGAGCTAATGAAAAGCAAAGTATTTTGAAATTAATGTCAGGTGATAAAACCATGATCCTAAATTGAAGTTCTCTGTAACTATGTTAATGCTGTCCAGCATAATTGCCTCGAATTGCCATCTAGATGTTAAAAATATCAGTCACCTCAGATAAGCTGTTATCAGGTGTGCAAATTAGTTTGCACATAAAATAGGTCTTGACAGGTCCCAAAATTAAAACTGCCTGGTTCTGTGTGGCACTATTTAGTCCTACTTCGCCAGAGCCCCCCACCTGAAAGTTGTCTCTTTACTGATTTGGGACATAATGGAGAACTGGATTAATGATAGCTGGGATAGGAGCATGATATAGCATGTTAGGAAGGGGACATATTACAGCTGCCTTTGTCTGAGCATCAGTAAGTGACGCTGGGAAGGTTTTGTGCCACGAGCTGGATTTCTTGTAAAAACTTGTCAGAACGATTGGCATTCTTGATCAAGGGGTTTGGGGTTTTTTCTGCATTTGAATGAGAATAAATTATAACAGTATAGTTAGCATTTGTTTAGAGAGAAGAATTTGTAGCCATACTGGAGAACGCTGAGCAAGGAGACAACTCTGAAGGGATGCCTCTCTTTTTCTGAGTAATTGGGCAGCAGGATCCCGAAGCAATTTGTTTCTTATACATTCTTCCTCGCAAAACTCTTTGCTGAAGTATGTGGATACCTGAGATGTGTCACCCTGAAAAAAATCAGCAGAGGAGTTCCTGAAATTTAATTTTGTACACATCAACACGTTTCTTGATTAGACTTTAAGCTTTCAAAAAAGATGCCAGTGTTTTGCTGCAGTAAAATTAGGACTTAAATCTTCATCCAGTTGCTTTTTCTCACAGCACTGCTCTCTGTGGACAGAAGCAGACAATCTGCACATGCTTTGTTCTCTATCCACATCCCTGGCACATGGTCAGTGACATTGTATAGACCAAAACATTACTGCAAGCTCTGGTTTCCCAAACGCTGTCAGGTCAGAAAAATGGTTGACCAAACTCAGGTGACTTATTTTTCATAGTTGTTGTGCTTTGTTTTGTTGATGTTGCTTTGTGTTTTTTTAATTATAGGTCAGAAGAAGAAAAGGCTCATTACAATCACAATATATGCCATGCATAAACCCTAATTTACAACTGCGGGGGAACACTGCATTCTGGATTACCTGTCAGTTGTAGACAGCAGCTATCACTTCAGAGTTACAACAAAGGAGAAATGGAAGGCTTCTCTGCTCCCAGGTACCGTTCTATTCTGCAGTGTCATGGTGAAATATTAATTACATTTATCAGAGCAGGATTAAACGTGGAATGAATGATTAATTATTTGGCACTGGGATAGATTAAAGTTCTGTCCAGGGTTTATGTATTCATTAATTACTTGTTAAATTAAAGCCACACCACTTTGAAGGAGGAGCAGTCTTTTCAGCTCTGCTGGTGCAGTGGTTTGTACAATTTATTTGGTGTTCAAAGGTGCTATCTGTAACAAATAATTGTCATGATAATATATTCTACTTCTTAAGCATGATGAAGAAACCTTTAAGTGTGTACTGCACAGTTTGCTTCCTTGCAGGTATTAGCCTTTTATTTTTGTCCTGTATGATGTTTTGAAAGGCCGTTTAAGATTTAATGTAACACATCCTTGATGAATTTTTGCTATCAGAGCAGAAGGAATAGGCTGAAATGGCTTTACTCATGATCCTCAGCAGAGGAACCTGCTACCAGTAGAGCAGATAAGTGTAAGCCCTCCCTGCTGGATGGTTACCTGCCCAGTACCTCCACTGGTGTGGTGATTCCGTGCCACAGAGATCACGTATTCTTTAGCAGGACAGGACAGAAGGAGGCTCATATTAATGATTGTGTCTAAAATATGTATCTTAGAGTGTTTCTGAGCTGATAAGATTTTCCAAGAATCTTGGGAAGGCTCCACTTTTGTGTTGATGGCTTTGTGTACATGGAGATGTGCCTTGTGGAATTTTCACTTAACTTTTACTGGGCCGATGTCAAGATTGACCAGTTACTGCAGTTACTTGGATTTAATAGCACTTTATGCATATAGTGGCACAGATTGAAGGCTGCCAACAGGTTCAGCTTTGCCCTGTCCTACCTTCCTTAAGAGTAGGTAGCCATGCTGTTCTTCATCATTATATTAAATAGCTTATAAATATAGCTGATATTAAATAGCTGCTGTGTTGCCCTGAACTGGGGGAGTAGGGGACCTTGTAGTCCTGTGTGCCATTGAACTCTTAGTGATATTTTGTGAATGATAAAAGCCATCAGGTACCTTCATTGTCTTCTTTGTACAAGGAATTCCTCCTTTCTCCTCAAAAGACCTGTTTTCATGATGTTCAGTATTTAACAAAGGGAGCCAGGACAAGGTTTGCCACTTTGTGACTAAAGGTTTACTAACATAGGTAAATACTTATCTTTCAGCTTTTTGTTTTCTCTGTTCCCATTGAATATTGTTGAAGTGCAGAATCACAAGCTGTAGGGTTTGAGTGTTTATAGGAGTTGCAGAGGTTGATTAAAACCAGATTCTGTCTGGGTCTACGTGGATGTCACAGTGTGAAGAGAAAATACGAGAAGTGGTCAGAAGCCCAGGTACTTCTAGAAATGAAAAATGGGGGAAAAGTGTCAAAATGTATGAACATGTTTGAAAATATTAACCTCCCCCAAGCCCCAGCCCCCCCTGCTCCAGAGAACTCAGCTGTTTGGGACATTGCTAGGACCACAGGCAGCAATTGCAATGAGATAGTTATCCCTTCAGGAAAGCCCTAAAATTCCAGGACTTGAGAGAAAATATTATGAATGTAGCACTGCTGAGAGATGCTAAAGAACGTGTCACACTGAAGATGTGATATACCACACGGAATCAATAAACAGCCCTCTGACTAACTGGAAACAGTGGTGCAGTTTCTCATTTCTGCCTCATTTAAATAAATCCATTAGTATCAGGAATCAAGTTGGGTGTCCCAGTGGTGCTGTGTCATGAAAGGATATTCACTAACGTAAGTGTAGGGGACACTTTTGGGGGAGCATGCCTTTTCTGCAAAGCACTTCCCAGGTTTTGGAGGCTGCTGGATTTGTGAGTTGTCATATTTATTAGTCAATTCCCATTTTTCACTATTATTATTAAAAATGAAAACACCAGTTTTTGTATCCTGGACTGTATTGTACTGGTCTGAGTAATAACATTCTTTATTTTTAAGTCAAGAGCATTTTGTTTATGTACTCTACCCACAGGGGAAAATATACTTCTTCTATTGCTGTAATGCACAAAGGACAGTTAAATCTAATAAGTTAATCTAGACTTCTAGAAACAAAATTAAATTTTCAAATAAAGGCAAAATGACAGCTAAGGCATAAATCTTTTATTTAAAATAAAAAATAAGCTCATTCAAATGCAATCAGAGAAGACAGATGTAGGTAAAAAACAAGTAGAGACAGGATATATGGTGCATAAATTTGCTATGTCTATGTGATAGATCAAACAGGGTGACCTTAAAAATGTTCCTAAAACATCAGCTAAAATATGAAATTTGCATATATTTAAATACTGCTTGTTAATGAAAGATGGACTAGAAAGAATGTTAACACTGAAAGTAAAATATAGCACAGGTGTCACATTAGCTATCAGTGGCTAAAATGTAAATATTTACTAGCTTGAAGCTGGCAGGAAGTTCCATAAATTAGAAATATTATCTTCTACTGTTTAATGTATCTTCTTAGGGAAATATTTAGATGAAAAAAAAAGACCGTGATTCAGCAAAGTTCATAACTAACTAAATGCTTAACGTCAGACATCTTCTTAGATCCAAATTACCTTAATGGGACGACTCACAGGAATAGTTTTACTAGAGACAAGGGCCGGTCCCTCTGATGAAGCATGTTGCCAAAATCACAGAGGCTGCTATGAAGTTTTGCCTTTGGATTGGTAAAAAGACCTATTTATACTCAGATTTTTCAAGTATTTTTCATTCTCTTTTTCTGGTCCAAGCCTGTGGTAGATGGTTGTGTTTCTAAGTGTCAGATCAGATGGGCATCTGGGAGGTGGCATTTATTTCCTATTCAGGAGAGAAAATGCAGCTTGTCAAGAGGACCTGATATTAAGTCATAAGGAGCTCTTTTGTGTAAATAGTCTCCTTGGACAAAAAACTGCCTGGGGTTTCTTGATTCCTGCTGTCATTCTTTCCTGGAGACCTTTTCCTCTGTCACCCTGTCCTCACAGCAGCATGTAAGCCATGCTACTTCCTGGGCTAGGATGTGCTGGGATTGAGTCCCCCCAGGGGTCTGCAGTGAGCCTCCAGCTTTTTCACCATGTCCTCAGAATGGGAATTTCTCCAACTACGTAGGCAATGGCATAAGCACCTCTTGTTCAGCTCCAGTGCCCTTAAAGAGTTTGAGACTGGTCTGTCCATCTGGTCATCCCTAGAAGTACATTGTAATTATCTCCTGGTTCTTAATAAATCTGGGTTTTCTAGAGATTTCCGCTGTAATTGGATCAGCCATTAATGTAGCCCAGATTTCCTACAGTATTCTGCTGAGATTACACCTGTTCCAATATAGTGACCCAGTTAGAGCCAAGATACTTGTGTGACTATGAAAGAGGAAATCCATTTGTAAAATGTTATAAGTATTTTGATGTACAGTATCACAATAAAAGACATGTATTTAATCTGAAAAGCATTGTCCAGCCCCTGGAAACAGCAGATGGATGTGTCAGTGGCTTTCCACCAATCCAGATATGGATGTAGGTACTGATAGGCAGAAGGGGATTTATCTTTTCAATTGCCTTGTGTGATGTTTTGTTCTGCTGTTTTGTTAGCTCATTAATGTTCTTTTGTGGGGGTTTTGTGAATGATTTGCTTTTAAAGTGGTATAATCCTGAAAGGTCTTTTTTGTATTCATTGCTAGGAAAAGTGTAAGTTCTTCAAGCCATTGATTAGTGACAAATGCCATCTTTTGAGAAGTTCTCTTAATCTTTGAGATGTCTGTTTTGAAGGTCACTCCCATTTATTAAAGAATTGCAACTGTACACCTGAATATTTCATGAATTGCTGGTATTGTTTTTAGCTTTTGCAACACTTCTGCATAGGAAACAAGTGAGATAGCAGAAAGATTTTTAAAATAACCCACATATTGACCCATTATTATGTTGCCACTGGTTAAGTTGGATTTTTTTCTGTCACATTTTTATTACATAACACAGGACAAATAAAAATCTGAGGTGGTGTATATGTGCACTGTGGGAATACTGTCTTCACACCGAGTGTCAGCTGTGTGGCGTTGTTCAAGCAGTCCTCATAAACCTCTGGTAACATCTGCAGCATATAGGGTGAAAATACAAACCCAGAGAGCAACAGAAAATAGCCAGGGGGGCTTGCAATAAAACTGTGTAGGTTAATCACTGGATTCCCTTGAATGAGTTGCATGCTACACGTCTCGGGCCCTTTTCTTTGGCCTCAGTTGCTGAGGGATGTCATTCTCTGCATAAGACAGGATTTGGTGCATCATAAAAAGCATAAGTCTCTCACTGTTTCTTGATGAGGGCTCTTTCTGCATGTGGCAGGAGCCTGTCATTCCGTAACAAAGGTCTTAGACTCAGTCTCCACTGATGATTTGTGTTTAGGTGTCTTACATTTGCACTGTCTCACCCCATGGGAATGGGCTGTTGAAGACAAGGTCCCTCACACTGTGGGATCATTAAATCCAGGTCATCTATAAAAGATTTGGTCTGTGAAAGAAACTTTCCTATATGTTGTTGTAATAAAACATGCCTTGGCAGGAGACATTTTTGAAATGCTGCTTGCAGGACTGCATCGGTGTAAAATTTAAAATTTGCCCTGTACTCTCAGCACTCTGAAAACTCAGCTTCCAGGATTACAAGTGAACTTTACTCACCTACTGTTTTCTTTAAACTTGAAACTTTTGGCTGCTTTGTAGACTGATTTAGGTTACAGAATCATTACAGCTTGCTAATTCAGGGAAATTAGGTTTATTTGTTTACAAGAAGCCTGTTCAAAAAATGATATACTGTTCCAGTGTGGTCTTTCCTATGGATTAGGCACAGTAGAGTATGTGTATTGGGGCAGCCAAAACACAAGTAGACAATTAGCTTTTCTACCAGAGACTAGTTTTGTTAACATTCCCTTGATTTGACAGCTGGAATAGATGAATGTCATTACTGACCTTTTCGATTTTACAGCTTCTTCACTTCCATAATTCCAGCTCCTGCAGCTGCACAATGGAAATGAACTTTAATAATGTTCCCCAAACTCCTGAAAATGCCTTACTTAAGTCACATTTTACAACACTCTAAACAATTGGAACCTTTCATATCGCTGCTTTTAAAACCATAGACTAAATCAATTAGCATTAGCAATTATGTGGTGGACATTTCTCGACTGTTTTGTAGAGCAGGTCTGAATAATCAGGCATTAGGTATCCAAACTTCAGTGTGATATATGATGATGGAAAAATTTATTCCTGAGTTTTAATTATTGCTGGAAGATATTCTCTAGGTTCTGCAATTAATGCCTTTCATTTAATGTTATAGGGTCAAATACTATTCACTTTAGTAATGTGAATTATTTTATTGAAGCTAATATAAGTAAATATAAAGAGCAGAAACCAGTTATAGAATGTAAGTTCCAAAGGTGCAATTGTGTAAGCTGTGGTATCCCACTGAAATCGAAGTAATGACAAGATGTTTTTCTAGATGAGACTGCTGTTGTTCTTAATGTAGTTAATCACAGTCTGCATTTTTTTGCATTATGTTCTAGTTAAAAAAAAAAGAGAGAGAATTAGAGGGGATTCCATCACTATGGAGAATGTGAGGTGAAGTAACTTAAAGCTATTATTACAGTTGGGGGGTTTTGTTTTGGGTTTTTTTTGTTTGTTTGTTTTATATACAAAATAAGACTAGTCCAGATTTGACTATCCAAATCCGGTAAAAGCATAGGTTTCAAAATTGGAAAGCAAGGTGAAATTGTACAGAATGGCAAAGTTAACCTTAGAAACAAGAATCCAAATTGTTAGTGATGTTACTTGATGGGCTCTAGGGGTGACTGGGGCCCGTTGGCTGCCATGACTGTGGGGCTTATGGCATTGACCTCTTGGTCTTCCTCCTGCCAGACAGGCTGGTTAAGTCTACAGTGTATTAACCACATTTTAACATATTCTAATAGTCCTTTTGAAAGGCTTATTTCAAAGCTCTTATATGTCTAATGAACTCTCTTCTGAGAGTTCAAATATCCTAATGAGATTAACTCATTAAATAACTGCCCATCACTTAGTTGCTGATAATCTGTTTCGTTTGTGGCACTGGAAGAGAGAGCTGCCTCTGAAAATGTTAGCACTGCTTGGAGATGATTTCTCTTTGAATATTTTTAGATTATTACGTTTTCTACCCTAGACAAGCCAGTATCATTTTCCCTGTCACACAAATGGATTGGACTGTGCAATAACAGTCTTTCTCCCTTCAGGTTGGTCAGGCAAAGGTGACAGGTTTTGCCACCATGACATTACCTCCTTCTTTAAGAAACAAGACTTAAACTTCCCTGTGACTAATTAGTTGTCTCTCAAGGGATGGATTTGTCAGCACTTACACAAGCAGAATGGCACAGATGCCTTCCACAGATCCCAAGGAAGGAAAAAGTAAAATAATTTCACCTCAAATTTTACAAATTGGCAAAAAAACCCCACCACAAATAAAATACACATATGAATATTTATGAATCAGTAAAAAACATGGCAGAAAACACAGGATAGCACTAAACCTGTATGCTAGTGTCAAGTGGCAGGAGATGTTGCCTCCTTTTAACAGAGGTGGTCCAAGTCTCATTTCTGCTGCCTTATTTGTGCCCCAGTGATCAGGGACAGCTTAGGAGTGAGTGGCTCATTGGGGAAAGGCCAGAAAGGACTTTGGTTTTGGAATGCCTCATGCAAGGAGCAGATGAGCCTTGGCGTGGAAACAGGTGGCAGAGGCGCCAGGAAGAAGTCCAGGCAGCGAGACCTGGTTTGGCTGTCGAGTTATGCTGGTTGCTCCAGTTTCAAGACACAAATGTTCTGTCCCTGGACAAAGGACACACATAATGCCAAGCCTGAGATTCCTTTGAGGAGCTGGCTGGCCTTGGATTCCTGGCATGCTTTAGCCTTAACGAGCCTGGGAGTTTCCAAGCAGGATTGCTCTCAGGAGTGCTCAAAAGAAACAAGGAGCTGTTTCTGTCACCTTGCACTTACACGGGGGTAGTAGCCTGTGTACTCACAGCAGCAGCCTTTGGGAAAATAACAGTGCCAAGCTCTAATCTGAGATGTCCCTATAGCACAACCAGCACATAACCATGTTGGTTTAAGGCACAGTTTGAATGGTCTGAACAAGCTGGGATATTTCTGTCCTGCTAATGAACCCACACTTGCAAACGAGACGTGCTATTATGATGACTGATTAAGACCACGCTGGTATTGTGATGATACTCGTGTAAAATCAGTAATTTCCTTTATAGCTCTTTAGGATACAAAACAGTATTACATGCAATGTTTAAAAGATTTAAGATATTTTTCTTACAGGCTATGCTGCTCAGGTGTTTGTCTACACACAGTCTTTCTGGTTGCTTCTAAAGAAAGCTCTGGTTTCTTGATGGTCAGCTGTCCAGGAAACTTGAAGGGTGCTCTTTAACATTTTTCAGTGATATGAGATTGTCTTGCTTTTCAGGAGTTATTTTTGGTGAGAAAAGCTCACCAAAATTTATAGTTTGCAAATAAAATGTGAGGAGTTTGACTGTTGGTAAGGGAAAAATATAAACAACACCATTACATTTTTTTCCTGTGTTTAAGCTATTCTGGTATTGGTTAAACCATTTAAAATAAAAATGACTTTTGAATTAGGACAGAAAGTAAGAAGGGAAAGTATTTCATCTTGTTTTTTTGAAGCCGTGGTCTCTTATTACTGTCACCAGCAGAAAGACACAGAAAAATTCTTAATTGTCTTCACAAGGACACAATACATGTTCATCGCTAAGGTGAACAATATCTGAACTATTGAACCTACTAAAATAAATCCTTGTGTTTGGTGTGGGGGGTTTTGTTGGCAATGCATTTTGAGCATAGCCCTATGGTTAGTCAAATTTTTAGACATGATATCTTCTATTTAATATATTACTGAACAGCCCAGGCTGTGACCCTAAGCACAAATACTGGAGCCTAAATTACACGTCTTTACTTCTTTTGCATTGTAAGATAATGTGTTATAGTTCAGAACCGTTCTCCACATTCTTGGAATGAAGAAGTGGAAATATCTCTGTTTCCTAAGGGTGGACCCTGTTTGGGTCCATTCAGATGAAACTGCAGTCAATGTCTGTTTGGATGTAGCACCACTTAGTAAATAAATCAAACAGAGAGCAGCAACATTCATTGCTCATTTTTGCTTGCTGTAGACTTGTTTTAAAGACAGCAGAAGGAAATGGGAAAGGAGGGGAACTGCCAAAGTCACATCTGTACCTAACTGTGTCTAACATTATCTTTTATGTCAAATCATTATCATACCCAGGAAAAACCCCTGGTGTTTAGTGCCAGCTGTCTGCTGATTCCAGCAAAGGAAGTGGGAGAAGACACCAGGAGCAAGGCAATCATTATAGAGATATGGTACCTCTGTACTATTGACACTTTTAGGTGTTTGCAGTGTCACTGTGGGATAGTGGCAGGAGGCAGTGGGGTGTGGAGCTGGGAAGCACATGGAAATGACTTGGCCACTCAGCTGAGCTGTGACAGCAGTGCTTGCTGCCAGTCCACTTTCCGGGAGGCAAAGGGCAGCAGGAGTGCTCTGGAAGAGCATCCAGCACAGTTGCTCAGGACTGGCCCTGACAGTAGGCATCCTAGTACTGCCTTCTGTTTGCTTCAGTGATGAAATTTGTTGACTCAGAAGTTTGATTAATATTTAATGTGAGAGGCAACACGTTGATGCTGATTTAAAAGAAGTGAATGTACATTGTTATCTCTTGTGCTTTTCACATATGAATGATGACAGATTTCAATATTACATTCAGAATTACTCTGGGAAAGGACGTGTTCAGCCCAGGATGCTGTCCATGGTGCGCGGTGTGCTCTGGAAATGCAAAATAATAACACCTTATGTTAGTAGCATAAACCACTGATTACATGTGCTTTGATGTGAAGAACCACACTGCCAATTGAACTTGTAGCTGTAGTCAGGGACTGATTCACCACATGATCATTTTTAGCCAAGCAGTTTCTGAATCATGGGCCTATAATTGCTTCAGATTCCTGGTATTGATCTCTTATGTCAAAATAATTGAACTTTATGGCTGACTTCTGATGCTTATTGAGAAATCATATAATTACTTCCAACCAGCTGTGAGTCAATAGCAGTTGAGTACATACCACTACTCAGAGTGCTTGATATATAAATTTCCTTCTAAATAAACACAAGACCTACCACATATTAATAAATCTAGGAGCCTGGATGCATGGTCCTAAGTTACATAATTACATCACCTAATATTTGTAATACCTGAAATATCTGTTGTGTGTTTGCATAGAAAATATACCTACTCCAGCCCCAGCCCTACAAGCCATGGGACTGCTGTGCCTGCAGAGAGCTGCAGCAGGCTCTGCACCAATGCAGCAGTTTGAGACACCCAGCAGGGATTGAGGTCTTGTTGGCCTGGCAGAAACTCTTCTATTTCCATCTGAAGTTCACACCAGTCTAGAAAATCCTGTCCTGAATATCACTTGCTTTTTTTAGCTTTGCCTTTACTCCTTTGTTTATACCAATGAACTGTCTGGAGCCTTGTTTACAAAGCCCTGTATCCAGCACACAGACATCCTTGTTCTCCTTCAGAGAGGGTCTTCAGAGTAGACATACATGTATAGTCTGTTCTTCAAAAAACTTATACTTCTATGATTTCACAAAAACCTATCATTTCTGTTGACTGCAGGTTGGTGACAAATAAACAGTTGCAATCCTTTTGAACAGGCAGCTTAAAAAAGCTCCCTGATAAGCTGAAACTCTTTTTCAGGAACGGCTTAAGCCGAGAACTTTAGCGCCCCACTGCTGATGGGGAATAGACACACAGAGAGCTGGTAAGGGACTTAGGTGATTAAAAAATGTTTTACTTGAAGGAAATGAAGGCTTCGTGTTACCTCTTTGAATAGCTTTAGCTGTCAATTTCTGCACCAAATCCTACCTCAGAAAGCACATTAGCTTTACTGAGTCTTGTTTCCCATGTAATCACTGTGCTGCTAGTGCTGGTTTTATTCACTCCTGCATTTCTTTAAATATTGTTTTATTAATTCTCTTTCCTTAAGGGGAATGAAGCATTAATCAGCCAGTGCATTTAGTACCTACTTACATTAATATCTAGGCAATGCAGTGATTTAGAATTCTTTACACCTTTTTTTGCAGGTTTTTCGTTACATTCCTTACTATCTTGAGGATGCCTTTCCTCATGACACTTTACAATAAACCTTTGCAAAATGAATAGCTTTCATTATGAAATCAATGATATTCCCTCTAAACTTCAGGGGCAATGTCAAAGAAAAGCTACTATAACTGCTAATGCTGAGCCTTTTTTTATGACCAAACTCTACTTTCCAGATGTCACAGCAATTCAGTCATCACCTTCCTCAGCACTTTTGCCTTCCATTGTCACTGTGGTTCTCTTTCTCAAGAAAGTGATTGTCAGCCATGTTTTTTTCTGTTCTTGTGTCTTTACTCTGTTTTCTGTTTGAATCCAACCTTAAACGTACCCTTTTAAGCATAAATGGCATGAGGTTTATACTTGTGACTCTGCATAGCAGGAACCTCTGGCCACTACCTCTCCTAAAGCATGATTATAAGAATGAATTTTAATTCTGAAGCACAAGAAGTAGTTATTAAGAACTTAATGTATTAATTTTAACTGCTTTTTTTTTTTCAGGATGATCTACCATACAGACACAGAATACTACCTGTGACCAGTAGACTCTTCTGAGTACTGTCTTAGGTGTTAGAGATTTTAATTTGAAGTGGGGTTCACGATAGCATTTTTAAGAAGCTAAATCCAGGGTGCTTACTGGGACTAGCCTGGGTGCTTCCTGCTTGCACTGGTTGGGTCCAGATGTGAGCATTCTGCTCAGTTTGATCCTGGTTGGCACATGGAGAGAGTTATGGATCTCTGGGGCCCAGAGGAAATGGCTGGACAGAGAACTTCCCGGGACTGCTGCATCGGCTGTAGACATGTAAGTTCCTCAAAGCTCTGTTCAAGATTCAATTAGGTGCATTGTCTCTTAAGGTGGACCTGCATTCTTTTGTGTTTGTCTATCACAGCAACAGGGAATGTGGACTACTGAGTTTGGTAAAAGCCCTATGAACTAACAGGTAGAAGTACTCAGCAGTTGTTCATTAAAAGCAGATAGGGTGGCTGTTCCACTTTTCAAAATCTTACCAAGGTGCAAAATTGCATCAGCCTGTCTCTGTGTCAGAGACACAGTTTCTTCCCTTTCCATTGTTTAAGGTAATCCTGGGGTTCAGAAGAAAATGCAATTGAAAACCTAAAAGTTGTCATCATCTTGGTATTCTCTTGATTAAAAAGTTTAATGTGTCTTCCTATTTTTAGTACAGAAATAGACATCTGAGTCACTAATTTATTTGCCTTCTTTGAGGCTGTTGAAATGTAAAAAAGATGAGTTAGCAGCCCCTGGCAGTAGAGGCTATAATGGAGATGTTGACAGGCAGACTTGTAGCAGGATCAGGCTACCAGGCACTACAATTAGATTTCACTCAGGGAAGTTACTTTGGCTTCTTTAAGTAATAGCTGTAGTTAAACAACTCTTTAAAGCCTGTCTCACTACCATACATGTTTAGATGACTGAATTTTTCTCATAATCAGTGTACCATACCAGTGGTTATCCTGATGCTCTGTTTCACTTCAAAGGCATACAGTTGTCTTATCTCATTTCCTGCCTTAATTACTTTAAATGTACTGACAAGAACAACTGACCAATTATTAGTACTTTTTCTCATCTTATCTCATTTGTTATCCGTGATGCTCTTCCGCGTTGTAATTACTTCTCAATTTTTCATGACTCAAAATAGGAGATGTACATAATGAATACAAATAGCAAATTGATTAAATGTAACATGTATTGTAGCACCAGCGAGATTGTCATTTGTTATTAATGAGAGAGATTTGTCAGGTGCTCGTGAAAAGGCCTGTGACGCACAGCAATCCAAACCTAAGAGCTGTAAGGCTGGGGCTGACCTTCAGCAGTTTAATTGTCATTCAGCACAAAAGGAAGCTATGCATGATTTTCAGGATAATTTGATATTTCTCTGTTTTGGTGCCATCTTAATTTTTTTGGATTTAATAGTAGAACTTGCAATTCAGGACAACTAGGTATATTCCAATAAATGGCATGTCATTGTAAAGTACCAAATTTCAAAGCCAAAGCTGTCCTGTAGGAGCTAAAATACTGATTGTACAAAGCCTTTTGCCTGCACTGGTGTGATGAGCAGCACAGAGTCAGGGAGCTCATGCAAGAAACACAGGAACCTGCTGTTCAGATCTCTATACTGGATTTAACCAGGCACACAAATGTATACCTTTTGCATCCTTACTAATTTACCAGCCATCAAGCAATGGATTTTTCCAGGGCCTTGTTCAACTGCTCCTGATCAAACTGGTTCATGTTACATAAATAAGGATCCATTGGAAGCTGGTCTTCTACATACTGGAGGGAAACATTTACTATTAGAGTTCGTGGCTTTGAGAGACCTCTTCCATACCAATGTCTGACAAGAAGTTTGACAGTCAAAAATCTTTTGTGGAACGAGGAAAGTTTTCTTTATTGTATTCAAGAGAAACAGATCGGAAAGCTCAAAAATGAAAATGGCAATGCAGGAAATTGCTTCCCAACCTTGAGCTCTGAGCCTTAAAATCCAAACAGCTGAATCCTTGCCCCCTAGATGCAGCTCCCTAATTTCAGTGTGGATCAACAAAGGGTTTTTTTTTTAGAATCAGAGCCTTGAAAATACCTTATTTCATTGTTGATGTACATTGCTTTTTCTGCATTAAGTTCAAAAATACTTTGCAGCAGGTGAAGGTCTGACTCATGGTCAGTTGGTTTTAGCCATGGACCACACTTAAGTAAAAAAACCATAAAACATTCTTCCTTTCAAATTACAGTGTGGACATCAGTATTATTTACCTGAGTCTAACAAATCAAATGAAGATTAAACCTTGTTATTTAATTCTTTCATCTTCTGCTTTCATAAGTGAATGTAGGGATTTTATGGGCATTATTTAAAACAAAAATTTTGATCATAAAGCCTTTGAAGAACTAAATAAAAACATTATGCAGTTGTTACACACCACAAGAAGAAAAGAATCTTTGAAATTTACTGTGAAATTAGAGACTTTATTCTGCATAATTTATACAGTGAGTATTCATAAAAAGGACTACAATTGAAACTCACCTGTCATCGTAAGTAAAAGGATGGAAACAATAGCTAAGGGAGACAGGGAAATAGTGTTATGGATGTTATTTCCTAAATATTTTCTAAGGAACGGTTTCTACCAGTTACTGAGGAAATTAAGGAAAAGTGACAAAGCAACAATCATTTGCAAGTAATAGTTCTTTTTTTCTTTTCATTATCTGTGCTGCCTGCCCTCAGATCTCCTGCATTGTTCAGATTTAAAAACATTTCCTGCTGTAATAGACAAGCCAGAGACTTTCCAGCCAGTCAAGGAGGAGAACTGGGCTCCTGCAGTGCAGCTCTTACCCAGGACAGTGCTGGTTCTGCTGCTGCAGCTGGTACTGAACAGCCACCTTGGCTGTGTCCACTAATGATGGGTAATTTTGCTGGCTCAGAGCTTGGTTTGATTAAACGTGTGAAAATTGGGCTATAATTTTCAAATAATAAGTTGGACTTCCCCCATTCTGCTTATTTTCTTTTCCTGCCTCCCAACCTCCCCAGAGGGATGGGACTGCTTTTTCTTGCCTTTGGAAACACTTCTGGCTCATCAGGGTTTTCTTCTTTGCCCTGCTGCTGCCAGAGGTTGCCTCAGGAGCACCTGTTTTATCTCCATAAGGGATCTTATTGCTAAACAAGAGTCCCCTGGGCAGGATTTACACCCTTCCTCTGGAAACACCGGAAGCTTGTGTCAATTCCTGCCCTTTCACATTCATGTCAGCTTGTCAGGGACTATCATTCACTGAAAATTTAACAGAGGAAACCTGATAGGATTGGTCTCTTGGTGCTACAAAAAATAAATGTTTAATAATGACAGGATAATACATTTCTACTAAACAGCTGACATTCTGCACCTAAGCACAATGGGCTAACAATTCCCTTTGGGACTGTGCACCCAGTAAAATACTTATGTAACAGGTGGATGGACCAAAGGTACAGTGAACAATGCAGAAGAGGCAACACCTTATGACCAAACTAGCAGAAATCTTTAGTGATTTTTTCACAAAATATGACTATTTGTGAACTCTGAAAGAGTTTCAGGACTCTTGGCCCAGAATTTTTATGTATGTTTGCCCACATCCATTGTGTATTAAAGGTTGTGCCATCTATGAAACTACTATGCCATGTTTCCAGCCCTTGCAGAGATTTCAGGTGCTTGTTCCAGATGTGTTATGAACAGGTGAGTGACTGCTGTAGCCATACACTTCAATAAACTCTCCTTTCATGATAAATCTGGCTAAATTTTGAAACATTATGCTGTTAAAGCCCAAGTTCTTAAGTTGTTCCACTGACAGCTGTGGGAGACTTTGTGGAGCAGCAAAATATCGAGCTTTATCTCTCCCTCTCTTCCATTTATTCACCTTCTTTCATGTATAAAGTCATGTGGTTAGGGATTGTTTGACCTGAGGGAGGAAAAATGCATTTATACCTTTAAAAGTGTACCTGTTTGAGGTACCTATCAAATCCAGTTTACCCTAGTCTTCCAAAGTATTTCTTGAACATAACCACTTGAACCTGGACTTAGTTCATAATTGGAAAATTTTTAAGGACATTTTTCTTCTCTTGGCCCTTTACACTCCATTTGAATTGATGTAAATAGCAGAAGCAAGCAAAAAATATTTAACGGTCTGATCAAAAGTACTGTTTCTTCACTACTTGTATTTTTACTTCTTTGTTGGATAACTCATGATACCACACAGACCGAGCAGTTCAAGGTAGGTTAGAGCAGAGTTACTCATTTATCCAATTAAATACTGTTCTTCTCTACCCCTACAACTGAAAAATCTGTGCCTCTCAGTCAAGTAGGGGTGGACACAAGGCAGTGTTCAGCAGGACTGTTCTCCATCATGGGAGTGGTGACACTGGACTGGTTCACCCTGGAAAAGCAGATGGTACAGTGGGTTGATACACCTTATACAAGACCTGCTACATTCTCCCTCTGAGCTACTTTCAAACCTGGGGCCTGCAGGCTGAGACTTAAGTTAGCAATGCATCTAATACATGTGCAAACATAAAAGGAATCTTTCCCTGCCTTTCTTCTCAACTTACAGAAATATTCTAATTAGTTATTTCAGGTGGGAGAAGGGGAAGAAATTTGGAGCAGGGCAAATGTGTGACTGTTGACTTTGCAGTAGTTCTGTCAAAAAAATATATTCTACTTTTAATACACACCATTTGGAAAGCAAAGCCCCTTTCAAAATGCTTCAGAACTCATGTCCTTTTTAATTGCCTGGAATTCATGGTGGCTGTGTGAGAAAGCCATAAACATATACAATCATAAAAACACATTTAGACAACCCAAACAGAATCAGTGCCATATTATTTTAGTTTATTATTCCTGGTGGAGTACAGATTGGTCTTCCTACTTTGATATTTATTTATACCAAGGAACTATAAGAACATAAATGCCACTCTTGGGATAATCCTAATGCTGGGGCCGAACAGAATATGCATTGCATCTGTCTCATTTGCAGTAAAATGAAGGAGTGTTTAGGTGTAATCCTGCTAATGAAGGACAAAGTTGAAGGTCAAATGTAGTTTTCAGAATGAATGTGTCACTGTGAAGCTGAGAGAACTGTAATTCTGCATTAAAAAGTTTTCTTAAAATATCAAATAACTAAGATGAGGAAAAGGAAAATGTAGCTCTTTGGTTTTATTATTCCTTTTTCTTTGAAGCCACTCAAGGATTGTGCTCGAGACTTTAGTGCTCACATGAAAAATTAATGATGGGTTTTTGCTAGACAGAAAGCCTTCTTATTTTGTACTTGATTAACAAAGAAAACTCAATGCAAAAGTGAGATACTCAGCAGGGGATGGTTCTCTCAGAGTCCAGCTCACAGCTTCACACCACAACATTTATTGACACGGGAAAATGCCCACTTTTATCCCAAGACAGTCAAACAGGATATGTGCAGGGCTGTACGTACTGAATAACAAGGAACAGATTCTCCACAAAGGAAAATGTCAACCAAGATAAACAAACAGCCTCGCAGCAGGCTGACCCTGCCGTGCCTCTGGGCTGTTTGGAGTCTACTGCAGAGCCAAGTGCAATGTTAGTCTTTTGCTAGTTATTGTCAGGAAGTAGATTATGAGCTGAAAGGCTGGAGGGTGACTTCAGACAGTCTGCCTGTAGCGGAAGAAAAGCCAAGGACATGTAGGCAGTATATAACACATACAAGCCAGGTCTGCACCCTGCTCACATGCCACTGTGATTTGATATTCCTCACCTACAAAGATCTCAGGTTTTTGGGGGAGGGGGGAGAGGGACCTGGGTACTTTTCCCACAGATCTTTTCCCACAATGTAAAATCACAGAGTAAGCTCACATGAGCTTGTCCAACTGAAAGCATCCTGCTTTAACCCTGTCATTCCTGTGTACATCCCTCAATTTTTAAACCTTCTTGTTTTGGTCTAGTCAGCTAACTGTGCATTTTCTGGGATTCAGAAGGGCCATCTGCTACCCACACAGTCAAGAGGAAAGCCACACAAAAAAAGAAGGTATGAATTTTACAACTTATAATGGAATTACAGTGAGTTTTACTTATTTTAAGCTTAAGAAAAGACAGACATCTGTTACTAGCATGTATTTATGATTTGTCCCCAAATACAGGAGACTTCCATAAATCTGTGAAAAATAAAGGTGCACAGTAAAGAACTGAGTGGGGTTATAAATCTCAGGTCAGATTTGGGGTTTCAAGTGTGAAGAATGAAGCAGATCACTCTGGACAAACTGGACCAGAAAGCTTTCTTTTCTTTTTTTGTTATACTAGAAAATGTAGAATGACATTCACCCCCATGCTCCCTGCCCACCCCCAGCACCCCCTACCAAATACTGCCATTATGAACTACAGGCTCTATTTGTATGTAGGTTCCAAAAGGAGTTTTGAAAATACTATGCATGAGTACTCGGTAAAGGTACGGAATTACTCTCAAACAAAAGAACTCTTCCATGTAGAAACCTGTTATTCTTAAAACTTCATTCCCACAGGCAGCAAAGATGAAGGTTTCCCATGCAATCTGGAGTGACTCTTGCTTTTGAAATAAGGCAATCTGGAGAACATTGAACTTGGTAAGAACTGGTCTTTTGCAGGAGGATGCAAGGCAGGGTGTTTAAGTTATAATTTCTAAACGATAGGGAATCTGTTACTCTATGGATAAGAAGACACGAAGCCACAAATAGCTCACCTGATAACAGCAGTTATGAGCTTTCCTGAAAGATTTCATATTTTGTCTGATTTAGTTACGATTTGTTTGCCTGAGCACTTCTTTTGAAGTTATCTACAGTGGTGGCACCAAGGTGCAGTGGCTAGTGTACAATTATAGAACCAGGTTGGCAGACTGATTGAACTGGCTAGCTGCCATTTTCACAGCAACTATATTTTTTTCTTGTGGATTTTAGATCAGATCCCTGCAGGAACAGATTGAGTGGAGTTTTTATATTGTTATTATGAATGTTTTGATATTGCAGTAATGATTTTTTGATATTTGATAATAAAGCCTTGAGATTATAGCAGTGGAAGCTTCAGAGTACCCTTCATAATCTATTGATTTTGTAGGATTTCCATGGTGCTTTTTTTCTTAGCTGTCATTGGTTGTTCATTTTTTTAATTAATTTTGTGGGGATTTCTCTCACTACTTTTGCCTGCCACACAGTGCTGCTGTGTATGAACTATGTACAACCAATGCACTTACATTATCCTGTCAAGTGCTGCTAACCAAATACAAGGCAGCACAGCCCAAGTTTGGTCCTGCATCACTAAACTCAGGGAAAGCTTTACTTCAGCTACACTAAATAAAGGATCAGACCCTATCTGAGAACAGCTGGATGTTTTTCATACAGTGAGGTTATATTCCAGTTTGTAACTAAAAATTTAGACAGCTAGTAGGTTTTAGGACTGAACATAAATTATATCCCTAAATTGTAATCTCTCTAGGACAGGAATGGTATTGCTGTGTGTAATCTGCAAAACATCCTGACTATTTTGGCAGGGAAGGCAGAATTTGATGACAGACTTGTAATTGCAGCTGTGAAGCACAGAAGTAGAGATGTGCCTGGGGGAGAGAGGTGCCCTGCACTCCTGGGAGCCTCCCACTCATGGGAGCAGCTGGGTCACTGTTGCACCCTTGCCAGCCAAGAAACTGTCTCTGCTCTGGCTTGTCCAAATTTATCCTCATGCTGCTGAGTGGCCAGTCTTGGTTTGTCCATCAGCTGCTGCCAAGCAGATGGTACTGGCTGTGTTTCCCTCACCTTTGCTCAGCAAAAGCTCTAATTTGTGTGTCCTTCTGCTCCCCAACCAAAAGTGTCCATGAAGTCTTACAGGCATGTATTTATTCTTGAGACTTACAAAGATTTTTTTACTCTGACTGAGGTTGACTGACAGGCTCAAAGGTTCCTGTAAGGCAATATGACAGAAAAATAAGAACAGACAGACAGACAGTAATGGCATGACCCTCATTTCCTTAGGAAACCAAGCTAAAAATGAAAATGTAACCTCAGACCCTTTGCTGAGGGCTTCCCTTTTGAAAGCCAGGATGAGAACAGATATATTCCAGATCAGAAGAGACATGTAGAGATTACTGTATTCTTGTGACTATATTAAAAGAGCCAAGAAAAGAAAGTAATTGTGAATAACTTTTAAGTCCTCTTAAATCACCATTATTATTAAAATTATTAATAACAATGTTATTGTATTTACTTTTCAAAGGAAAAAATGGTCTCATGGTACAGTTAAAACCAGAGAGGGATACCTGGGGGACAGAATGCAGCGGTGCTCCCCTGCACCTGCTCTCTGCCCAAGGGACAGACTGAGGAGTGGCTGCTGTCCTGTGCTGCACTGGGCTGCAAACCACGCAGCAGGTAAAAACAAGTGAAAAAGGAAGCTGGCATCGGTGCCCCTTCCCTAGGGAAGGTATGCATACAGCAGAGAGGTGTTCCATTTCTGTCTCATGTAACAGAAGCTGTGTGCAGCAAGCTCAGGAGAGGAAAGCTCCGTGTCCTACCCAGACTACCCTCACCTACAAATTGTAGTAGCTCACAGGCAGTTTGTAACCATTCAGGTGAGTGTTCTGTATCTGTATGACTTTTAAGTTTTATTGAAGCTCTTCAGTCAATTCACCAGTGACCTTGAGAGATCCTCTCAGATGTGCTGGCAATTGTGTAGTTGATGCATTTCCATACAAGGCACTAAACCCTTACATATTGGAAAAGTCATTTGGTCTGTCAGAACTTGCATGGAAAAATACAAATATTTCATAAGGATAAGTGGGCAGATTATTCTCAGGGTATTGATTCCACATTTTGGTTTGCTGCTAAATAGACCTCCCTACTGGAGAGACTGAGCAACATGGCCATTTCAGGGAGACACTCTGGGGATTTATTGATTGGACATGAGAATACTAATCATGAAATAGCATAGATTGAACATGCTTTTGTGACTACCATTTGCATAAAAAGGTAACACTTCAATATTGGGAAGGCAAGACATTTCAGAACATTAACAGTAGCTGTCTCAGATCGAGTCATATTCCTTTACCAGTTCTTCAGGCTTCTCATTTTCCAGAGTCTAGAGAACTGGGACAACACACATATAATGAATGCTGTCTGTAACAAGTAAGTTATCAAATACATTTGCTATACTGGACAGATACTGAAAATGAAACTCCTATCTCCAGCAAAACTAGAGAGTAATGTTTTCTCTCTCAAACTTACTGGAAAACTGCATATATTTTGGATTTTGAAATAGCTTTCTGTTTGATTCTTGTAATCAAGAAGTTAATTCAATTAATTTCAATCAATTTTTGTAATCAAACACTTTAAACTCTCCTTCCTCTTTACATATTAATTTTGTCAGCTTGAAGTATTCAAAACTCAAAAATGAGGAAGCCCTTAAAATTTTGAGCAAGACTACACTGTTATATAGTTTATCATATTTGTATATTTTGCTCTTTATCTTTCTGTGGTGTTAAGGGGTTTTTTTTTTTGTTGGGTTTGGTTTTTTTTTTACTTTACTTTTTTAGAGTAGCTCATCAAAGATAGAACATGCATCTTCTTAGGCACTTGCTAGTCCTCTGCTTTGTCAGTGGACCCCCAGGCATCTCCACTGGCAGCCCCAACAAAAGGATTGCAAGCTTCCTGCAGAGGACAGGCAGTTATGTAGGCCTAAATGGGCTTGGAGGACTTATGTCTGTGTATTTTATCTGGCTTGGGGCATTTCTCCCTTGTTGGCCACACCAGCCACCCTGTGAATTTCAGAGGTCATGAAGAAAATAGGCACCTAGTTTGAAACCTGGACCCCAACAAACCATTCACTACCTTTTCAGAAGTATCTAGATGTAAAGGCTGAGACAAATAATATTTTAGGTTTGTTTGTGCTAGTGATGTAGGCTAGACCCAATGAAAGGTCTAATCTATGCTTCCATGCACAAGTGGATGCAAACTGCACTAATTCAGTGCAGAACACAGAATCACTGGAGTTTTCTGTGCTGCTGTACATTTGGGTATGTCAAAAGCAACCAGCATGAAGACACTGCACTTTAACTCCTAAAGTGCAGTACAATTTTGTTTATTACAGTAGAAATCAGAATGGCCCAGACTGAGCTCTTCTACTTTAGGTGCAAATCCCTCTGATTATGGGCTAATGGTATGTTATACCTTGTGCCTGCTGTTCTCAGTTCCCTGCAGATGGGATTCAACAAGGTACCTCAAGCACCAATAACATGAAGTACTTTACTAAATAGGGTCCTGAAAGACATCAGACCCTTAAAAGCCAGTTTGGCCTGCTGAGAGATGAGCAACTTCACTCCGCATCTGATGAGAGGATCCAAATTGTCAGTTCAGTGGGAGAATCTTTCTATTGTAGGGATGAAAAGCTCAGGGGATCTCACTCATGCTCAGTGGTCTTGTAATTAAATGTTACACACTTGATGAGCATTACATTGCAAGCCTCAAGGCTAATTTACATGTTACCACCAAAATGTCTTATTTTATTTTGCTTGTAAAAATACTGTGCAGGCATCATTGCATGTCATTGCAAATGGTTTGTTATCAATGATGCTTGGGTGACTCAAAATTACTAAAAGCTGTACATAATTACCGCTAAAAAGCCCCATACAGAACCAATAGTACTTCCTCTACAGTAGATATTTTATGACTGAGAAGGCTTTCCTGATGTGACTGACAATGTTAGGATCACAAACAAGTAGCCTGCCAGCAAATAAAGAATAGCATTTTGGGGAAACAAAGTAGTTTGATTCAATTATAGTACTACATGTATCATTAAAGTGTATGTTGCTTTTCTGGGAGCTGTCCATTAATTCAAAACAGGAAGGCAGAGTGGGAGGAAAGAGAAAAAAATGAAAATAGGTAGGAGCTTGTTGTAAGAATGGTGATAGGTATGATGTCAATATAAGATATTTACTGGGATATTTAAATGCTTTATGTTGTAAAAGTTGCTTTTACTGATTTGGGTCACATGACTCGTGCCACTCTTTACACAAGATAAGGGAAAGGAGACGAAGCTTCTCAAGACTCTGGGATCCATTTAGCACATACTCCTGTATCAGTTTCTTGGTCGGAGGAGGTCATTCCACAAGAAGCATTTCAATGCACACGTATCAGATGGACTGAACGGCCGTTTCTTACAATTCTCTATTTCTTTTATACTTGACTGACTTCAAAGCAATGCTAAAGCACTGCAATCATTTATTGGAATATATTAATAATAATAAATTACAGTTTCATTCACTGAATTCCAGCTCTTAGAAGAATAAACAACCTTGTGCAGATGCAGAAGAAAGGCAGAGAAATATTAGATGACTTACCCACAGTCTGCAGCGGGTGAGTGAAAGAATTAGATACAGAACCTCTGGCCTCTGGCCTTTCTTTCAAATAATCTTTCCTGTGTTTGTGCCACAGTAAAATGATTTTGCATATGTCCTGTCTCAGAAATATGAAAAATATATGCAATATGCAAAGCAGCCAATTGGGCTGCCTTTTGGAATATATCATCATTTATGAACGGTGCATCTTGAAGCCTAAACAGATTGTGTGCAATTAATTGCAAACTGTCAAAGAGACTACAGCACTTTACTGCCAATTTGTAAATAAAACCTACTATGCAAAAGGACGGAGGCAAGTGAGGTGAGTTTCTCTGGATAAAGGAAAGGCAATGCACAAATGCAGTGCAACACAATTTTTACACTCCAACCTTTAAGAATTTTGCTGACCCTGTAAAAAAATGGTGTGGTGCAGAGTCATTGAATGCAGGTAAGCTTCTCCGTGGGTAAATATTTTACATAACCTAAATGAAGAACTCCCAGCTTACTTGATAAAAGAATAAAGAAGTCACCATGTGCAAAAAGAAAAACGTTCTTTTTAGTAAAGTCTTGGAAAATACATGAGCATTTTTGTACCCTACAGATGTGCCAAACAATGGTGATGATGATGTGCAAACAAAGCAGATTCCCTTTATGTCCCGATTATGACCCTCAAATGATCTTTGTTATAAATATACTCATCCTGGTGACTGGCCAATACCTGACTGGATTCCTTATCCGGTGCTGTCTAGCTCCCTTTGTATCACTGCTGTTACCATCCTACAGCTCATTGTTCCCCTCATAATATTCAATAAATACAATATGTTTGGTGCCACTGCTGATCTGCTGAGCCAGTCAGTGGCCAGCCCAGTGACTCAGTCTTGGTCTCAGCTTCAGAAGAAAAATGATGATGCCTGTCTTTCTAGGTTTGAACCCCCCTCCGGTGAACAGCATCACAAATGTGATACAGACCCTCAGTAATTACTGAAACAGCAGTTTGTCACAAGCTGCCTGCAGCACTGATGGACAATCTGCTTGTGGATATAGTTAGAGGAAAGAATATGTAAGAAAATATATTTGTGACAGGCTTAACTTGGATTTTTTTTTGTTTCAGGGGATGAAATGTACATGTGGAGGCAGTGTTGATGAAGAACTAGGTACCCATTTTCATTAACAATTCTTCCCACCTCTCTGGTATTTAATATATATACAAAATTTACTCCAGTGTAAATAAGAATTTGGCTCAAGTAGCAACCACATCTACATGAAATGCAATTAGTATCTCCCCTGAAGTTCACATATATCAGCAGTTTCCAAAACAAGTAGATTTAGCCCTCGAGGAAGAGCAGATCTGCCTACATAGCCCAGTCACCCTTCACGCTGGTACCATGGAGGGGGTCCTTGTGTCGCTCAGCAAACAAAAAAATCCCTTCTCTACTCCCCTGAGCCTCGCAACAGCCCAGAGCTTCCTGCAGCATATAGGCACTTCCCTGTGCTCTGTGCATCTGAAAAGAAATGGAAATCTAGAAGTCCTCTTCATGTGAAACAGTTTTCTTTATTCTTTTTCTGCCCTAATCTTGTAGTGCAATTGCAGCTCCAGAAATGACAAAACATCTGAGTCCACCAATGGTGAGGTAAATTCAAGGTTGAGAGATGATGAAAGAAAAAATGGACTCTTAGTCTGATAGGCTTTGGATGGAGCTTTACAGGGAATCAGGACACCAAAGGATGCTGTTGTAGGGGGCAGCTGTGTTTCCATGCAGGGGAGACACAGGTCTAGCTGTTTGGAAAATCAGAAATCTAGAATTGAGAGGAGGGAATGCACTGCTTGGCCCCAGCCAAACTAACAATGACTTTTTGTTTCGCAGCTTAATATGTTGTTCCAATTAGTCAATTGAAGACATTTTGTCTTCTATGAGATGTATTCTCTCCTCCCCAACTTAAGGCAATTTACTTCCAGGATTTTTTTTTAAACTAGATTGCACTTGGCTCTAGGTACAGAAGGTTTCCTTCAGAAATCTTTGCTGAGTTGATGGCACAAACAGCTATGTTCCTCCAGACTCTATTAACTCAAACTGTCAAAATCTACGTGTCCACTTCCCCTTGTTTGTTATTTTGTTTATTGCAGTGCTGGAGATTGCTCGCGTTTCACCAGAAAAGGCTCTCCACTCCGCAGCTCGGATTTTCCCTCTCGTGTCACTCAAGCAAACTGCCCTGAGCTTCCCTGCTGCCGAGGTCGGAGCAGAGCCACCGCAGCCCTCTGGCCCCTGCCGGGAGCCCGCACACCAGCACCCGCTCGGAGCCCCGGAGCTGCGGGAACACACAGACACACACACACAGACACACTCACAGACACGCAGACACACACACACGAGCTGGGCTCCCCAGCGCTGCCGAGAGCCAAATGGGATTTTGCCTGAATGAGTACTGGGGGGTGGGCGCTCGTTCAGAGCCACAAACAGCTCCTTAAAATACAACGAGTGCTCAGAAGATGGAATTTTGCTATATTATGATTTCAGAAAACAGCAGATGAACACTGGACATAATGACAAGTCCCCCCAGCTCTGAAGAGCTCACTCGAACCCACTGAGCCTTCTGAGCAATCCAGCTTCAGCCCTTGACTGTGTTCATTACATTATTTTGATGCACTGTGATGAATGCAAGAGATCACTATACATTAAAAGCAGAGTTCAGTAATCAGTATGGAACAGTGTCCATATGCTGGCTGACAGCTTTACCCTACAGTTACTGGGCTAGTAGTTTTCAGCCAAAAGTCAGGAGAATTTGGTACTCAGGGTTTTGCCCTCCCATTCCCCTCTCTCTGCCACTAAAGTAATCTGAAGTAATAATTTTCAACTGAATATTTTTAAGTGTTATCTGTATCTGTAGTTGCCAGTAAGAGCTCAGCCCCGTTCCTCTCACCACCACCTCTGCAGATGCTCCTGGAAAGTGGGCAGGAGACCTCCACCACCCCTGGCTATTCCCAGCAGGACTCTGAAGTGTTCCAGCTCTGGTGAGGTACCAGTGTGTGGTGAGGAGCACTGGAAGCTCTCCTGGGATACCACCATGTATGTTATGTAGTGCTTGTATGTCACTAAGATTTTGGAGGGTAGAATAGAGAGAACCTATTATTTTCTTTAGAAACAGTTTTCCTCCTCTGTCATCCCCCGACATCTACCCCTCACAACAGGCTTGTGGTGCAATATGCACTGCTCTCCTCTACAAGGGCTCTGCTCCTTTTAGAAAAGGCTTCCAGAAGGATACCAACAGCACTGAAATCCCATTCAGTCTGCTTGGTTTTTACCAGCCCTACTCAACTGCCCTGCAAGAAGAGAGAAGAATATTTTCCCTGCTCTCTGGAGTAAAGTCCTCCATTACCACATCACAAAAGAAAACAGGCTGCTTGGTAGCTAAGGAAAAATGCTGACTTTAAACCTGAGATAAGGCTCTATCATTTACACTAATGAGCTCACTGGTGGGGAATTTGTAAAATATTACGATAAAAAGTAGCTGTAGTCAGTGTTCGATGGAATTTACTGTTTTACTTTTTTGCTGAAAATAGATATAAGTACTAATAATTTTCCCATTCAAACCTAGAGAGAAATAACTGCAGCAAGAATTGTCCCAGTAGAAGTTCAAAGATCTTGTAAGTAATCCATTATTATAAAGATTTATTTTTTAACCATGGGTTGGTCTAAATTCTTCTGGGAAGGCTACAGACTTTAACTGGTTGAATAACAAATAAGTTACTCAGAAGAAGCCCTCAATGAAATATTAACATGTCAGGATTTTAATTGCTGGTAACTTATGGTTACAAGTTAACCCCCTAGATCTGCTAGTCATCATTGTCCTGTCAGATTTTGATTTCTGATGGAAGTGTGCCCTGGGATGCCCAGGATGCCCTGTAATGGTCTCTGTGCCAGGTACCACATATGTCCAATATGTGCAGCGAAAAAGAGAAGGTATTTAATAGCCTTTGTTATCATACAGTGTCAGAGCAGTAAATGACAACTGCTAAGGGAATCTCCAAGCTACTGTAGGTTACAAGGACTGGACCATTCTGTTCTGAGCCAGAATAAATGAGTATGGCTGGAGAGAGCAACTCTGCTATAAAACTAGCAAAAATGGAAGAAAGTAAAGGGTTGGGAGTAAGCAAAGAGGAATAAAGACATCTCAGCTAAAGGGCTGGAAAACTCTCTTAGTTTGGCATCCATGTGAGATATGAACGTTTCCAGCATGTTTTTCCTCCCTCTCTGTTTTTTTGTGGTTTTGTTTTTGTTTTTGTTTTTGTTTTTTTTTTTGGCTTTGGTTGGTTTTTTTAGTCACTGGTTCAACACCTGGAAAGGCTGGCCAGAGATGCAATTCAGTGCATTGTCTTCATTGCCTGTGACCAGGCACTGCCGCATGCAGACAAGAAATTAGTCCTAATGAAATATTCCATGTGCTGGTTGTACCCCTGTAGCCTTGTTTTCTGCCTGGGGGTATCTGTGTTTCTGCAGTGCTGTCTCAGCCACCTCATTCTCCTGATGGTTGTGGCTTTAAGTCATCCCTTTGATAGCAATTTGGGAAGGGGTGCTGGGGTGTATGATAGACACTAATCCCAGACAAGGAATAGCTGAACAGGAAGCAACGAACATGGTGACCTGGTGGGGGTTTAATGCTGCTGAAAAGGACAAAGGGGAGAAAGCATGTAGCAGACAGGAGAAAAGTGTATGGAATGGATACAAGAGGGAGAGCTGGTTTATGGGCTGGTGTGTTTTCCGACTCTGTGAGTCCTGCAAGCACTAGGAATATAATAGACCAACAAAAAGGATCAGCGTGAGAGACTATGAGAAGCTTGTCTTGTATGCAACTGATCACAATTACTATAATATTTCAAGAACACATTGCATTTTTTCACAAAAATATTGTCAAATCCAAGGCTACTGTATCTTTTGTCTTCATACAGCTCATCACGAGATTTGAATTTTCTGGTACCTAAAAGTTTGTCTGCCTGTCTCCTTTCCTCCATCCTGCCCATCACTTCGTACCCAATATGGAAGTGCTGAAGTGTTGCTGTTGCTGCTTTTTCCCAAGAAGAGCAGCCACTAGAGGGAAAGATGCACACAGAAGAAGTTCCCCTCAGCACCTCTGGGGCTTCCTCCATAAGGAAAAAAAAAATCAGAATTTTACCCAGCATTTGTAAGGTGGCCTGGTTTATCCTTTCAGACAAAGTACATTGAATGAGATTATTTTTAGTATTGCAGTTGCACCATACACCCTGAAACATAGCCAAAATTAAGGGCCAGGAAAAAAAATCATTGGCTAAATTACACAGAGGGGATTGGATTACCTGTTCAAACAGAGCTCTTAATTCTGTGTATAAATAGAATCCACAAATACAAGTGCACTGCAGTAGAAAATAAGGCCAGCCAACAGCCCCTAATAACCCTTAATTATTAGGAGTTTCAGTTAACATTTGGACAGCTTTGGTCTTAATTCTTTTAAGTTTGAAGAGGCAGCATGACCGAGGTGGCCCCATTTACAATTACAGTGAGCACACATGCTGTTCCAGTCCATGCTGGCTTCAGCTGAGTGTTCTCTGGCAGCTTGCGTTGGGATTTTGCCCTGTTAAAATATAATTACCTATCTGAATGGGAACTAATTTCCAGTTTGAGTTATTCACTTGTAACAATGCACTTGTTCTGACAGAAGTCTGTGACAAGAAAAACAAATCAAGCTCCCGACCTTGGCATCATCGCTCACTTAGGAATTTTTTGTACCTGAAAGAAAATCTGCTGATATCCCATGCAAGTAATAAATCACCTCACGTCATCAGTAAATACAGCTGTAAAACAGACATCTCAAGGTAAGACTGAAATCCAATGTTACTTTAAAAAAAAAAAAAAAAAAAAGAAAAGAAAAGCTTGAGAGTTCTATACTACACATGAACAATTATGGTTGTATAAACCAGAATGTTTAACATTTGCCTTAAGGATAGCATTTTCAAATGTCCTTAGCAGTGAGTTAATATTCTTTCCCAGTTTTAAATTTGCCCTATGTAATATATATGGGACATCAGAAGTCAAATACTGTAATGCAGGCAGTCAGTAAAATGCAGCAGGTGACATTTATCCATTTTATCTTAATAAGCTTAATAATTTTGTTATTCTTCAAATTATACAAACTCAAATACATGTGTAGCCCAAGGATGCTTCAAGGTAGATAATCTGATATTAATTTACTGCTGCAATCCACACTTTGGTTAAGATTGTGTAACTGTTTCCCCTTTGACCTTCAGTTTGCAACTACCTGTATCCACCAAAAATTTCCACTCCTGATACTTGGGTTTGCCATTATTTTGAACTGCAATAGTCAAATTTTTATTTCAACATTTTATCACAATCTTTTTGAACATTTCAAAACACATGGAGGTTCAGGGAAAACACTAAGCTTATTTTGTTTGATATTGTCTAGCCTGAAGCGAGATCTGAAAGTAAAAATTAGAACTCTTTTTCTGTAGGAAGGAATGCATGATTAATGTTGAGAAGCAATCTGGTTTCATTTGATGAAATAAAATTACAGAACATTTAGATATGAGTACAGGCAAATGCTCACCTGGCAGTTTTTGTCAGGTGCACACCTTGGAAAGCATATGCACTGTCTAGTTGTCCATCTATTGATGGGTTTTACCCTCAGCAATGCCCTCTTTCCCCTGCAAGCACAAGTGATCATGAGAGAATTCCCTTGGCTGGTGGTGTTCTCCTCCTGGCACCCGAACCAGCCTGTCTGTGCCATTTTCTGTCTTTTGTCTGCTGAGTATGACCTGCACTGGCAGGCATGTGGCACAGCAAGTCTCTGGCCTTTGTCATTCTACAGAGTGTGGAACACTACAGATAATTTCTGCTGGATGGCACCCTAGCAGTTCATCTGCTCCTGCTGTGCACTCTCTCAGTGAACTCAGTCTGCTCTTTGAGTTACCTTAACTGCTTGCTGTGGAAGCTGAAGGTGACACCATAAGCAAATCACCATAAATACATGCAAACCTCTCTTATAACAGCAAATCAGATGGTTGTAGATAGGCCACAGTGTGGACCAGCAAGAGTTGTTTTGCACTAAATCTCATTTTCACACATCTTTGGACTTTGCACGGAATCCCAGCAGATGCTTGGGAAGACAAGTATCTTAAGTTTATAGGGGCATATATAAATCCCCGAATTGCTTTTTGCTGTTTATACTTCATAAGCTAATATAGCAGTGAACAAACTGCATTTTCAGAACTGTGAACAAACTGAATTTCATATAAGTTATCCAGTTATGGGCCAGACTTTGCATTTCTTACTCAAGAAGGATTAAATCAAAAGGCAAGTAGTCAGTGAAAAGGTGATTTTATACACAGCTAGCTAAACTCTTACTAAATTATTCTCTCAAAGGAAAAATAAACGTTTCCAGTAGATTTCTCTGCACTTGTTTTTGGAGAAGCTGATGCCTTCGCCCTTAGAGGCTTTCTTCATAAGTGAAGCTGAAATTAAATGTCTAGTGAGATTGAGTTTCTAAGGACGATTTTCCTAAAACAGGATTAAGGCTCACTGATAGTTTAATGGAGGGCAGGTAATGCTGCTGCTGCTCCTGATTTAAACTGCTTTGTGGGTAAACTATATTTTGGTTTCTACACATAACAGCTCAGTACCTCTGAGCTTTAAACTTACTGCTGGCTCTCCATAGTTTTTTTTTCTGGAACAAAATAAGCAACCCTCTTGTGATCTGAGCAGGATAGTATCCAGTCCTGAAGCCGCTCTTCAGAAACTTAATGTAGATCACTCAATTATTTTCTTCCCTTCAGATTATTTCCAAGTTGTTTGTTTGCTTGTTTGTTTTCTTTGGGTGAAACATTTAGAGGAGTTCTACAAACTAAGAGTCTGTGGTCAATCTGTCAACATTAGGGTAGTAGCTAGTTACCACACAATGCACAGTTTACATATTTTCTCCATATTCACAGAAATTTTTTCTTAAAAGCAAACATCAAAGATCTCTGCTTGACAAATACCTTAGTTTCAGTCTAACAGCTACAACATCCATTAGTTTGTAAATACCTTGACACCATTTCCATTGTATCTCAATGACAATTGCCCTTTTGTATCTCGATGACATTGATTAACAAGGCAGTTTGTAATTAGATGGGTAACATAATTCCTGTCCCTCTGTAAACATCTGAATTTGCAGATCTCGACTCCTAGCTTGGGAGCTCTCTGCCACACATCACTAATTACGCCATGTTCTTATATATCAGTCCCTACATCCTCCTGCTGAGTCTCTCTTCTTTGTTCCCAGTACGAGTCAGAGACTGTTGTCAATACAGAGAGAATCAACACAACTGCCTAGCACTGCATGTGACATTTAATGAAAATGAAGTCATGTCTCATTTGCATGGCAGGTGTTACTTTATTCCAGCCAGAACTGCAGAAGCTGGGTGCTACGGTGCTAGTCAAGTGTGCAAGACTGATAGCCAGTGGCAACGAGGGTGACTGGCACAGGAATCTTTACATCTCTCCCTTGCCTGCCTGCCCACCTCCTGTGTGAGGAATAGGGCTCCTGGTAAAGCAATTTGTTCATTTTTCCAGGCCCCCCCGTTCTCGTTCTTTCTGGTAACTCCGTCCATCAAAGCCCTCAAAGTGGTCAAGGTGGTTGGGGGTGGAAGGCCCACCCAGCTTCCTGCCAGGGGGGTCACCACTAAACATCAAGCAACTTCCAGCTCAGTAAGGAAGACTCTCCTGGATCAAATCCACAAGCCAAAAATAAAGAGCTCTGTAGCACAAGAGAATTGACTTCTGTTATGCACAAGAAGTGTCTTACAAGAGTAATATATGAGTATTTTTTTACATAACAAAGAGCCATGTATGTTGAAAGAACAGGTATGGTTTTTTTGAGTCAAGCCCTCAAAAAAATTAAAAGGGCAGTCTTGCTCCTTCAGTTTCCATTCCCCCTTGTCATTTCGTCATTTCTAACAAGGATGCAAAATGCTCATTTTTGCTTGATTTTTATTTGTTTTAACCTTATTAGTACCCTTAGAAATATTAATTTTATTTTAAAGTTTCTGATTCTGACTTCGAACTCAGTTAAGACCGTCAACAGTACTAACACATTGCAAATCTTAAGCTTATGTCTTACATGAAGTGACTCCGCCCACTCACTTTTATCTCATTTTCTACTTCTCAGGAGAGTTTTTGTTTCTATTTTATTATCCCCCCAACTCCCCTCTGACCACTCTCCTTCCCCTATAATCATTTTGCCACTAATTTGGTTTCCAGAGCGCTTCACTGCTGAATGTCTGAAGTAGGTGCGTGGTACTTTGATCCTCCCTGAGGAGGCTCCCGATGCCATTGGTTACCGCTACATCCCGTCCCCTCAGAGCCAGCCAGTACCAACCCACGGGCAAACCCGGACACTTCGCAGACACTCTGAGTAACTTTACAGACGCACATTTTACTTAGCAGGGCAGTAATATGAAGAAAGTTTTATTTTAAGCAGTTTTCAGAAAGAGAGATCGATTTCCCAGGCAAAAACTTATGAACCCCACAGTCGAACAGCACAGTAAAATAAACTAAAGCCGTTACCAAAATTCATAATGATTTGCAGAGAAGCCCAGTTTTGGATGATATTCAGTTTCCCAGAGAGAATGCTACAAACTCCATGTAAGTTTCTATCTCTGAATATAAGTTTTAACTTTAGAAACAGATCTGCCAGTTAGAAAATGACTTTGTTCCAGTCGTTTGTTTCTAACGGTTCATCGGTAAATTTCTTCATTTACAATATCGGGTGATGATCTTTTTTGACAGCACATCCAGAACGAACAGTGGTCAGATGTCCACAGAGACAAAGCAATCTTTGCACTTTAGGAAACAACGACAGCCCTACAACCGCGCTCCGGGCTGGACCCATCCGTGGGCAGGGCACGTAGCGACTTTGTCTAACAGCGGGGTGCTCTGTCGGCCAGGAAAGGCTCTGGACGCTGTCAAGAGTTTTTTGTTCGGGAAGCCTTGCGGTCTGTTCCTCCCCGGGATGCGAACGAGACGGCTGAAGGAGACAGCGGAGCCTGGACACCCCGGGGAGGGGGACCAGTGGCGTCCCATCCCTCGGTGCGCTCTCCGGCGAGGCGGGCGCGGGCTCACCGCGGGTGATGCTGTAGCTGCTCGGGGGCGGCGGCAGGCCTCTGCCCCGCGCAGCAGCGCGCTCCCTTCCAGCCCGCCTCGCCCAGGAGCACCGCGGAAACCTTTGCCTGACACCCGGGTCCGCGCCGAGCTGCTCCGCGGGAGTTCCCGAGCCCCGCGCCCCCCGCCCCGCCGCTCCCCGGCGCTCCTACCTGCGCGGCGCGGTGAGGGCTGCGAGGTGCGGGGCTGCGGTGCGGTGCGTTGCGGGCGGCTGCCGGGCACCTGCTCCCGCGCCCGCGGCCGCGCCGCCCCACAAAAGCGGCGGCGGCGGGCGGCGGCGGGCGGACCGCGCGGCCATTGGCGGCGGCGGGCGCGGCGGGGGCGGGCGCGGGGCGCTGACGCGAGCGCGGGGCCGGTGGGGAGGCGGGGCCGCGCCCCGCGCCGTCTTTGTGCTCGCCGGCAGCCCCGGCAGCGCCGCCGCCTCCCGCCGCCTCCCTCAGCCCCGCGCGGCGCGGCGGGCGGCTCCGCTCCGCCCGGTCCCGCTCCCGCACCCGCAGCGCTTCCGCGCCGCGCTATGTGTGCCGGCGCTCCCGTTCCTCCTCGCGGCCGCTTCCCAGCCGGCGGGGCGCGCCCGGCCCCGCTCTGAGCGCGGCGGGGCAGAGGGAGCGAGCGGAGCGGAGCCTGGACGTGCCGCCCGGCGCGGCGCGGAGCGGCGCGGAGCGAAGGGAGCGCGGCGCCATGCGGGGCCCGGGGCTGGGGCTGGGGCTGGGGCTGCTGCTGGGCGCGGCGTGGGTGGCGTGCGGGCAGAACGAGACGGAGCCCATCGTGCTGGAGGGCAAGTGCCTCGTGGTGTGCGACTCCAACCCCACCTCCGATCCCACCGGCACGGCGCTCGGCATCTCCGTGCGCTCCGGCAGCGCCAAGGTCGCCTTCTCCGCCATCCGCAGCACCAACCACGAGCCCTCTGAGATGAGCAACCGCACCATGATCATCTACTTCGACCAGGTGGGGAGGGCGCGGGGGGCTCCGGGCGCGGCGCCGCGGGAGAAGTTGCCGGGGAAGGCGGCGGGGCCGGGCCGGGGACGCGCCGCCCCGCGGGGCCCTGCCCGCGGGAGGGGGGGCGCCGGGGGCGGCCGCGGGGCAGCGGGACTCGACGGCGGTGGCCCCGGGTTGGTGCTGACGGTGCCCTTCCCTTCCAGGTACTAGTGAATATCGGCAGCAACTTCGACTCGGAACGGAGCACTTTCATCGCGCCCAGGAAAGGGATTTACAGTTTCAATTTTCACGTGGTGAAAGTGTACAACAGGCAAACCATCCAGGTCAGCCCCGAGCGCCGTCGCCTGCCTCCGCGGGCACCGCGGGAGGGAGTGGACGGGTCCGCGGCCCAGCGGGGCCGTGCGGGCGGCCGTGCGGGGACCGCCGCGGGAGCGCAGACCTGCGGCGTCCCTACCGTTCGAGGGGACGGTGCCCGAAGGGCCGCGGAGCCCCACCAGGCCTCCACTCGGCCCCTGCCCGCATGAGCTGTCCTGGGACGGGAGGTGATCGCCTGACGGCTGCCTGCCGCCCCCTCCCAGCCTGCCCGGGCCCGCGGGCTGCCCAGTGCCGCGGAGCGCCGGCGGGAGCATCCCTGAACAGAGCCCGTGGGAACCGCGGCCCCCAGTGGGCTCCTCACTCGCTCTCTGATGGCAGAAGGTTTCATAGGGATTTGGGGTTCACAGAGGTGCCTATGGCATGGATGCAATAATGAATCTGTGCATGTGTATGCAGCTACCTTATACGTGCCTTTTGTATGTGGTTCGATGCATACACACCTCTACATAGGGTTAATAAATTACCGGCCTGAAGCCAGGTAGCATAACCCAGACAGGAATGACTGCATAGCAATGCACATTGCAAAGGTGAATGTGCAGCTATATAGCACTGTTCTGGTGTAAGTGGCTTCACACCTCTAGATTCGGCAGGTAGTGTATTATTAATGTGGGGTATGCAGTCCCGGGATCATTAATGCGAGCTGAGCAGAGCTTATTGACTGTGTTGTATCATATTGTCTTTGCTGCCTAACAAAGGAAAACTACCTCTTGAATACACTTCAAAGGCGCTGACTCCAGCGGCTGTGGCTCTGCTGCTCGCTGTCTCTGAGGTTTCGCATAAAGCCATCTTTCAATAAGTACGAGCAGACCTCTTTTCATAGCCTGAAAACACAGGCACCCTATTGAAATTCTCCAAAATAGGATCAATGTTCTGCTTTATATGCACCGGGTGTTTTGATGTGGTTGTCGGTCTAAAACAGCGGTGAAAGACTTCTTCCTTTAGAGTACATACCTTAGCTGGGTTCAGATTGGTATTTCTTTTTTTATGGGACTGGAGTTTCAGCTGTCAAAAGAGGCCTTTTCTTAACTAAGTATCTCTCCTGCTAGGCGAGCCCCAGCGGTGTCGTTGTCTGACTTTAATTGACAGAGGGCTTTGTTTTATCTTGCTCTTTAGGTGAGTTTGATGCTAAATGGGTGGCCAGTGATTTCTGCCTTTGCAGGGGACCAAGATGTGACCCGAGAAGCTGCTAGCAATGGAGTCCTGATTCAGATGGAGAAAGGAGCTTATCTAAAACTGGAGAGAGGAAACTTGATGGGAGGCTGGAAGTATTCAACATTCTCTGGATTTCTAGTGTTCCCACTTTAAATCACTTCTCGTCCAAGAAAAGGGAGAGATCTCTTACAAATTCCCAAGTCGTAGCTGGGTTTAAAGAGTCATGGACAGCAGACTTTTTACATTCAGATATTAAAGAAGCTAAATCCTGCTTAGGTTTGTGTACATCTGCTTTGAAGAATTACTACTTATTTTTGTTGTGTTGCGGCCAACAGGCGGGAGACACTATAATTGATCAAACCCCCATTTATATTCTTCTCTCTCCTCCCACAAAATTAGTTCCCATCTCTGTGTCACTGGTGTAATCTGCCATTGTTCCCCCATGGCTTCTGCCTCACACAAGTAGACTTTAGATATTTTCATTGTCCTTTACAGCATATTTTGTAGTTTTGTTTTTAAAACATGTTAATCTTGACTCTTTCTCTGAGTTTAACTTTTAAAAAAAAAGCAAAGTATTTTTTGAATACATGGATACCATGATGGAAGGGAAAATGCAATTCTTGCTGTGTACTGGCTGGCAAAAGGAAAAATTTCTACATGAAGAACTATTCACAGCCAAGGCTGACTAGAGTATTTCAATATTTCTATGTAATTCTGAGTGATTGTGAAATTTAAGGCTGCTAAATGTTTTGATGCTTGTTTTGCTCTTGTACAATGTGGCCCAACCAAACGCCAGGAAGTATATTGAACTTTTACTATTACTCTGTAATATAATGTGTGAATATCGAAAATTAATTTTTGCTTTAATTCAATAAAGTTTAAATGGGACTTTTATTTTTCTTAACCAGAAATAAGGTTCCTCAATGCAGGTAGGTGGGGGCAGGACCGGCGTGGTCCTGGGGCTGCGGTGCTGGGACCGGATCGGGCGGGCCACCCCCCGCGCCCCCCTGCCCCGCAGCCCCCCCGCGCGGGTCCCGCAAGCCCCGCGGGCGGTGCCGGCAGCCCCAGCGGACCCGTCTCTAGGAAGTTTGTCACCGACTCTGATATCCACTTATTTATAGCACTTATCTGTATTATATTCTATAAACAAGATCGCATTTTATACGGCCGCCTAAAAACAACCGACCATGTGCTCTCGATGCTGGTACTATTGATTCGCTAGTATTATTTGTTTACCGTCTTTTAAAGATGTAAATGCTATAATTTTGCAGTACTCAAAGAGATTACTACTTTTATTAAAAGGTGCGTACGAGGATTTCGATTGTATCTAAACTTTAATGTGAAATAAACCGGTGAAACGACCCCCGGGCTGTGTGCGTGGCGCGGCGGCGGCCGGCGCGGGGCTGCCCCGCGCCCCGGCTGCGGCACTGACGGAGCCGCACGAACCCCTGGCTCCCGCGGAGGAATTTAATTAGCTCCAAGCAGTTGGGGGGGGATTAATACGAGCACAATAAGCAACGCTTCTCGCTTTATTCACAGGTTCTGCCCTGGAAACAGACCGGCGGGGCGGGCGGGAGCGCGCTCCGCGGAGGGGCGGCGGCGGGGAGAGGGGCCGGCCGGGCTCAGCCGCAGCCGGGGATGGCCGCGGCCCTTGGACTCCAAGAGGAACACACCAGCCTGCTCTCAGTTCCTGCTCCTCTGTCGCCCAGGGGTGTGGGGGCCAAAACTGACTCTGGCTCCGCGGTTGCCTGGCGCATGTTGCGATTTGCGCCTCGCAGGAGAGGTGGAGTCGCGGCCCGGCCCTCCTCAGCCCCCTCGGCCTTGCCGCTGGCCAGGAGCCGTGCGAGGGAACAACGGAGATTTCTGAAGAAGGAATAATGACGGAAAGCAGCTGGGCTGTGTTCACCTGGAGTTACAAACTGGCCAAGACAGCCCACACGTCTCATTCTCCGGCCGCACGCTCCTCTCTCAATGCGAGACTTCATTGCTCTGCCCTGAAGGCTCTCACCGCTCCCGCACCGCGCTGCCTCCCACCCGCCCGGCTGTCAGAGCCGCGCCCCCTTCGCGTCCCCCCCCGCAAGCGAAAGGTATGGTCAAGGCAAGCAGAGCCGCTCCTTCCTCCCGTGACCGCGGCGAGTGAGCAAAGTAGGCAAAAAAAAAAGGGGAGGGGGGAACGAAACAACAATTAATAGGTTGCAAGAGAAAGGACGGCGGCCCTGTGCCCTCACCGCGCCGGGGCCAGGCGGCAGCTCCCGGCCGGGCCCGCCGCGGGGGACCCCCGGCCATCGCCGCAGGTGCGGGGGCTGATGATGCTGATGCTTGTCTTTTGTCTTTTTTTTTTTCCCCTTCTTTTTCCCTCGTCTCCCTTAACGCGAAGCAAATAAACCCGCCACCTTCCGCTGAAAGTTTTCCCCTGGTTCTGAGCGTCTCATTAATATTGTGCAGCTGGAAATTACATTACTCCAATCGCAGCAAATCGCTGCTCTGCGGCTGTTACAAAACGCCGCCGTGGCTGCTTGAAACAGACTCGTCTGCTGCGCGCCCGCGCAGCGACGCCCCCCCCCCCCCCACCGCGCTCAGCGAGTCCCCCGCACCTCGGGGCCGCCGGAGGCCCCGGGGAGGGGCGTGAGTTACAGCGTCTTTGCTGGGGAGGTAAAGCCGCCGGCCCGGGGACCCCATGGAGCTCGGCTGCCCCGCCGGGCCAGGGAGCCCATACCGGTGCCCTGGGACTGGGACTTTAC